CTGATGTAGTCAGAACTTAGATGAAACTTCTGAAATTGAAGTGGTGGGTTGATTAAACAGCATATTTTTCAAATTTCATTAACTTATAACATTTTTATTATTGGATGCATTTCTTCGTAACTTTGACATATACCATTTGAAAACGTCATGAATCCAGTGGTGTAGCCAATTTTTCTTTGTAAAAAATCGTTTGATTATTTTTTTAAATTTTTGACCTTGAAAAATAAGAACAGTTGGCCCTGAAAATGACGAATAATTCATGAAATTTGGTGACCTAGTAGACTTTTGAATGTCATTCAAATCGGTTGAGAAATATAGATTTTATATGGGTACTTCCATTTACAATTATTAGTCAAATCTTTGGTAATTTGGATATCTTTTCTGCAAAAATAATTTTCTTTAAACATTATCCATACTTTTCTCACTCCAGGATGACCATTATGTTCATGTAAATACTTTAATATATCATAAGCTAATTCTTTACTAATTACATATAGTTCCTGATCCTTAATTATCTTTGCCCAAATTCCTTGACTTTCCTACATTTCATAATATCTTTTGCTTCTAATTTATTTTGATCTTTTACTATTTTGTTGGACGAAAAAATTCCTTGTTGATCTATTAATATGTTTACCCCAAATTGTAATGTTCTTTTTTTTTAATTTGCCATCTGATCTTGTTAATGCATCCGCAACAATATTTTTTTTTCTTTTATATGTCTGATTTAAAAATCATATTCTTGCAAAAGTAATGCAACCTCGATGCTATTTTTCAACAGTTTATTATTCATCACATTTAGTAATAACATGTGATCTGTCTCAATAATGAATTTTGATCCCAGTGAATAAAATCTTATTTTGGTAATGCAATATGACTTGCAATAATACTCCAGCAAGTTTGAACATTGATACATCTGTCCTTGAAATGAATGGTAAATTATAATTTGGATGATAGATTTTTAAATTATTAGCAAATTCTAATTTGATGGTGTTAAAAGCATGTTTTTGTTCTTGTCCACATTTCCATTTGTTGCTTTTCTTTAACAATTCTACTAAATTCAAAGTGTCGTCAACATACCTTCATAGTATGAAACCATGGGAATACTGAACAAGACGCCTTCCTGAAACACATCAACAGCGTGAGACCTTCCATCATTTTTACAATTGAGAAGGAAATCCACAACGAATTGCCATTCTTAGACGTTTTGGTGAAGAGGACCGACACTAAGTGGGAAACATCTACAGTGTGACCCATTTAAGATGGAAGCACCCTTATAAAACTTACTTTTTTTAACCGATTGGAATGATTTTTTTTTGTTAGGTAGATATTCAAAAAGTCTATTAGGACACCAAATATCATGAATAAATCTCAATTTCCAGGGCCAACTAATCTTATTTTTCAAGGTCAAAAATCTAAAAAAATTACTAGCGATTTTTTTAGAAAAACTCTGACTACACCACTGGATTTGTGACATTTTCAAATGGGTAACATGTAAATTACGTTGAAATGCGTCAATCAATAAAAAAGTTATAAAGGAATGAAATTTGAAAAATATGCCGTTTAATCAACCCACCAATTCATGTTCAGGAATTTTATGTAAATTCTGTATACTCCACTGGATTCAGGATGTCTTGAAATATTACTGATCACAGTTTCATCAAAATCTGTTCGGTAATAAAAAAGTTATAAAGGAATAAAATTTGAAAAATATGTTGTTCAATGGAATTTTAGCAACGTTCTTACTACACCACTGGATTAGGGGCAATATTCAACAAAATATTATTTATTCAAATAAAATTCATGAAACGTTTATGGGAGAATCAATTTCATTTCATAATGTATGTCGAACCATATCAATCAATCAGTTTATCACAACAAACTTTAGTGTCAATAATTTCAAATGAATCTACAAATAACTAACTGTAAGTACATTTTTCTAATTGCTACAAACTAGCGGAAAACAATCTTTTATTCACAATCAATGTAAAAATAGAAACCAAGAAGAAGAAACCTCAATTGTTGTGGAGTAATTGCATCGCAAGCTTGCTGAATTCTGGTGCACAGTTCCACTCGATTCCTTGGTCGTGATTTGTAAACCTTTTCTGTAACATAACCCCAAAGGAAAAAATCGAGTGAAGTAAGGTCAGGCGATCTTGGTGGCCATCCAAATAATGTACTCCCCCTTCCTATCCAACGATTAGGGTAATTTTGATTCAGCCAACTCTTCACAATTCCCGCATTATGTATGGAACAACCATCTAACTGAAAATATAAATTTCTTGTTTCTGCAAGGGGAAGTTCATCTATTGCGTCCGAAAATTCATTCCTTAAAAATTGTAGTAAAATTGCGCCATTCATGTTGCCGTCGAAAAAGAATGGTCCAATTATCCTTTCATTCAGTATTCCACACCAAACGTTCACTTTTTCTGAATACTGCCTTTTACAGTTTATCACCCAGTTAGGATTTTCAGTGGCCCAATAGCGAATATTTTGTGATGAAACCACTCCATTTGTTGTGAAACTAGCTTCATCACTAAATAAANATACAGAATTTTCATAAAATTCCTGAACATGAATTGGTGGGTTGATTAAACGGCATATTTTTCAAATTTCATTCCTTTATAACTTTTTTATTGATTGACGCATTTCAACGTAATTTACATGTTACCCATTTGAAAATGTCACAAATCCAGTGGTGTAGTCAGAGTTTCTCTAAAAAAATCGCTAGTAATTTTTTTAGATTTTTTGACCTTGAAAAATAAGATTAGTTGGCCCTGGAAATTGAGATTTATTCATGATATTTGGTGTCCTTATAGACTTTTTGAATATCTACCTAACAAAAAAAAAATCCAATCGGTTGAAAAATCTAAGTTTTATAAGGGTGCTTCCATCTTAAATGGGTCACACTGTATATTCATATTTTATCAAAATTTTGTTCAGTATTGTTACATATATCCTGAGTTGGTAGACATTCAGTTAAAATTGAAACTATAAGTAGGAAAATAGCACCCATAATAATTGGAATTTAATTCAAAATAAGACATTTTGTGCTATTGAAATACCTTGAATTGATTCACTTTTCGTTGGTCTATTCAAACAATCAATATTTAATATCAATATGGAGAATGGCAACAAATTCATTATTGAAACCAATTTAAAAATTTCAAACTGATCAAGTGTTTGAACGAAAAAACGAAAAAAAAAAAAATAGATTGGTTAACCACACATAAATTGAAACGATCTACCTTCATTCTTTTGGTTAAAAATAAGTTCGAACATTAAAAATTGACTTTCAAAATTAATACTGACCATCTAACAGGATATTCAGGCAAGCTGAAAGTAATAAAAATGGACCCCAAAACAAGCACTTTTTCTAATCACCAGAAATACCCTTCTGAAGATGCCAACTTAGTTGGTGAAACGTGTGTTGAGAACAGTATTGTGTTTTTGGTGATTGGGAAAAGTACTTGTTTTTGGATTTATTTTATACCAGATGTTTAAGCTGTAATAAAAATGAAAACAAAAGTCGATTAATTATGAAGGTATCAAATGTTTCACAGTGAGCTACCACACATTAAAAAATTTCGAACTAATTAAAAAAAACTGCTTCAAAACTGTATATAAGTTATGTGATGTGATTGGTTTTCTATTTTTAAGTCAATTTTCATTGTTGTTAGGACATTTTCGTTGACCTTTTCTGGGACTAAATACCTTCCAAGTTTCTGAAAAATTTGAAATTAGTAATTTTTATTTGTTACTTTCTATTCGTTTGATGAAAAATAAACACAGACTAGTTTAACTTTTAAGATGAATAACATCTAGCCAGATACTCCATTTGGCAATATTGAAAACTAAAACAAGTTTAATATGTTTCTTGAGCAAAATATGATTACCAAATATACCAAGAAAGTACTGGCCTAATAATAGATCTTATTTTGAACTGAAATACCAAAATGAACAGATACATTCTCCAATACTGACAAATTGATTTTCACCAGGTATAAACAATTTTCCCCAATCCCAGTATAATTTTGTGATGAACCATTTCGCCAATTTTCGAAATGATTATTGTATTGTTCATTTGAATAAGTGAAGTTCAATTACTAGATCTTTGAAAAACCATTTGGTCAGTTCTGAAGCAAATTTGATGTTTTCCAGCAATTCTAATGATGTCGAGTGAGCTGTAGAATTGATTTGTAATTAGTTCTGTATTTCCTAATATTGAAATGAGTTTTTGCTGTATTTTATTCGTCAGAAAATGGATGTGTTGAAAATATCAAATATATCAATTCACTTATTACATTTGTGTAGTTGATGATTATTTATTTTGTTATTTTGTGGAAATTTATGATCACTTTAACGAAATGAATGAAAACCCTTTTATCTACTTTCCACTAGTTATTTTGTTTTTACAATGAATTTCGGGTTTCATTCCATTAAAAAGTATAAAAACTAACTAATACATTTGAAATCTAGAAACATGGTTATATAGAGAGTTTGTAGGTAAGCTGGATGGGGAGGTAATTAAATGAACAGGGGTGCCAACTATAAAAAAATCAACACTGGAGATTGAAGAAATTACAGGTATTGTCAAACTTAGAAATTCAAGAGTGGAGACCTACATAAATCGAGTTGCTCGTTTAGGGTTATATGTTTCGGGTTTTTATTTGATTTATTAATTTTCATGGCTTCCAAAAAATTCATTTTCTTTCCTTCATTACATGTGTAGGATTTTGAGATTGTCTATACTTATCTTGTGTTTTGATTTTTGAAGATGTTCATACATTGTAGATTTTGTGTCCGAACACACGTGTTCATGAAGCCTTACGTCAAAATTGTATTTAGAAAAGTAATTTTGAATATTTTCTGAAAGTTTACCTGAGTAATTAATGCTATTATATTTACATGTACTGTGTTTTCTGATATTTTTGTATAATTCATTTATAAGCGTTTTATGAGTTTTATCTGATATTATCTCTTCAATTAAAGAAACTGGTACCTACCAGTTTAGCGCAATTTGTTTAATTATTTTTAGTTCATCCTGGAAGTTAAGATATTGTGAAAGCTCTGTGTATCATTGACCTAAAGGAGGATAATTTACGTGAGATTTGACTGAAAGAATCAAAGCGAATTGTACAGTCTGTGAGAATATCTGCTAGAATGGGACCAAATGGTGATCCCATAGGTACCTAAAAATTATTATTATATTTGAAAAAATGTTGTTTCGGACAAGTATTCAAGAGATTGCAAAATTCGTTAGTTATATATGGGTTATATATGGGTTTAACTACATGTCAAACAAAAATATCTACTGAAAAAACACCTTCACAGACTGTAAATTCCCTTTGATTCTTTCAGTCCACTCTTACATAAATTATCCGCCTTTAAGTCAATGATAAGGACTTCCAGGATGAACTAAAAATAAGTAAACAAATTGTGCTGAATAATCAGGTAGGTACCAGTTTCTTTAATAGAGGAGATAATATCAGATAAAACTAAAACGCTTATAAGTGAGTTATACCCAAATATCATAGAACACAATACATGTTAATATAGTGAATTAATTACTCAGGTAAACTTTCAGAAAATATTCAAAATTACTTTTCTAAATTAAAAATAACAACAGCTTTCATAAATAATACTAATTTAGGCAGAGTTCTGTTCAATGCAAAACCCAAACGAGATAGAATGAAAAAATCAGGTATATATAAAATAGAGTGTGGGGAACGCTCTGTAGTATATACAGGTCAAACCGGTAGCAATTTTGACGTAAGGCTCCGTGAACACGTCTGTTTGGACAAAAAATCTACAATGTATGAACATCTGCAAGAATCCAAATACAAGATAAGTAAAGAGAATCTCAAAATCCTACACACATGTAATAAAGGGAATAAAATGAATTTATTGGAAGCCATGGAAGTTAATAAATCAAATAAAAACCCAAAATATATAACCCTAAACAAGCAACCCGATTTATGTAGGGCTCCACTCTTGAATTTATAGGTTTGATAACACTGGTAATTTTAATTCCGGTGTTGAATTTTTATAGTTGGCACCTCAGTTCTTTAAATTACCTTCCCATCCAGCTTACCTACAAACTCCCTATGTAACCACGTTTTTATAATTCAAATGCATTAGTTAGTTTTTATACTTGATAATGGGATAACACCGGAAATCGGTCGTAAAAATAAAATAAATATTGGGAATGAGTCAAAAATGTTTTCATTCATTTCATTTCCACTTTGAAGTGGAAATTTCACATTGAATTTAATTTTTTGAATACGTTATAATGGATTTTCAAGTATCGGTCAGTTCTATCACATTGTTGACATTTCTGATAACAATTTCAACACCAATATTGTCAAATCAAAAAACTTTCCTTAATGTCCAACAGTTCTATTTCTTTTTTTTATAGGTATGATGACCCCACTCCGTCTCAAGTACTCCCAAGGAATATAACAAATCGGTTGTCTACCCATCCGAAGAGTATTAGTCAATCAAATATATCGATGAACCCTCCTTTAAAATCAACTTCAATGGTCCGGTCAGTATCTCAGGACATTCATACATCCATAACAGATTTGAAACCAAAAAGTTCCTTATCTGACACTAGTTTAGATGTGAGTAAAGTTAAAGCAGGAACGATGCGACAAATGACCATTAAAGAGCAACCTTCAGTGTCGCTTGAGGATGACATTTGCTCCACAGATTCTTCCATTATAGACGAGAATGACATTAAAAAGAAAAAACGTAAACTTATTTTTTTCTCGAAGAAAAGTAAAAATAAAGGTGATTGATTTATTTTAGCTAGCGAATTTGTTGTTACTTGAATTTTGAACCTGTTAGTCTCTCCATATGTTTATTTCTTTTTTCAAAAAAGTAGTTTTTGTTTTGAGAGGGGTGTAAAGAGAAATACATGATGGTGGTTCAAAAATGAACCGTGATTGTCTTAAGTGTATTTTCAATACTTTGGTAATGCTATACAGCTGGGGCAAACTGTTTAGGAATTAATTAATTCCAAACTGTTATTAATAGGAAAAAGTTTATGTATATAATTACTGTGTTGAGGTAATTTTTTTAAACAACTGAGTTTCGCTAATTATGAAAAAAAATGTTGTTTATAGATAGTTGAAAATAGTATTACTCTTTTTATTTGTATATCGAATTTGTTCCGGAATCTTCAAACTAGTACTCTAGCATGAATTTCACATTTATTTGTCTCAGATTGTAGTTCAACTGAATTTCTGCCAACTCCAAAACAATTTCAAATTTGAGTTAGGTATGGCATTGTTGAATTTCTTGCTAGAGTCATGTATGCTGTATGCTTTATTCTTTTACTGTCTCATAACCATGACGGACTCCCAAAAATAGTTTATATTCTTATATAATTTGCAATGTTGAGTAGAAATTTGAATATCTTTTACAAAATAAAGGAGAGTTGTTTGAATCACAAACATATACAGTCTTCCATGGGAGTAATTAGATAGTGTTTTTTAAGGAGTGTTTATATTCTCTCCTAGAATTATGTCCTTATTCCAGTACTTCAATCACGTACTTATGACGGACTGAGCCATTTTACAGGCATTTTTATTCTCTAATTTCATTAATATTTTTTGAAGCTTGGTCTATGTACTTTAAAAAATTTCCGAAATGTATACTCTTTGCAGTTATTTTTCTCCTCAGAGCTCCATAAAATGAATAACATAATTTTTTCCTCGCAATTTTATTAAGTATACTTTCTAATGTCAATGTATGACAACATTGGCTGTTATATTTCAGGTTATTTATGGAAGACAGCAAAAGAAAACATTTCCTATACACTGATTAAATTATCAAAAAATATTTTTGATAAGTATAACTACATTACTAACATTTTTTTATGAATCTTCTGTGAACTGTTTCCTAACGATGTTGAAATATGGCAAGAGGTGATTATACCTATAGAAAAGAATTTATTGTACACGGATCTATTCGTTTGCTTGTGGGGAAAACAATTTTATATTCGGAACAAAGGTATAGTTCTTTGGAGGTAATATTTCTGATGACAAAACAATTCATAAGGTATTCTGGTTTTACCCACGTCATTAATTTTGAATAAACATTTTGATAGGACATAAAATTCGGTTTTGAATGATATAACACAAGGAACTATTTCTATTGAAAATGGAAATATTGTGGAACAACTTTTGTTGAATTCAAGAAAAACTTTTTTTAACGCCGTATTTCAAAAATCTTGATAGGAATTGGTATTTTTTAAACTTCGACATTGAAATAAACCTCTTTTACTATAAAAAAATGTCAATTATACTGTGCCATAAATTTTTCTGTGTCGAAAAAGTTAAAGTAGTAGTAGTAGTAGTAGTTTATTAATCACCAACTTACATGTATTTATGAAAGCATACGATAGAAAAAAATAGGCGATTAATATAGTTAGAAGAAAAGGTCTGTCAAAACGAGCCTTATTACTGGACATAGGTATTGTTGATTCACTTGAGTTGTTGGAAAACTTGTCTGTGAAACATCAATACCGAAATTTTTTCCTTTGCAGATATTATGTTTGATATGATATGAGATTTACTTTTAATAACTTTGTATTTTTGACAATAAGTACTTTATAATGAACCAAACTGGCACAGAAAAATTAACTGCATATCTTTGACATTTTTACAAGAGATACACTTCAATGTTAATGTTTAAAAAATACCACTTTTCATAAAGATTTTCGGAATAAAGATGAAGTGGAAAATGGCATTTCAAATAACTAAATAAAATGTGAGTAGTGCCGCCATCTTGAACTGGGAGTAGATAGCTCCTATCCCACTATTTTGAACAAAAATGGTAACTCGTGTTTTATGAAAAAATTAATTTCGTATTCTATCAAATGGTTTAAGAAATATAATGTTCTATCAAACATTTTCAACTTGGGTTTATTTTTGGGTAAACATTTTCAATTATTTTATCATTAGAAATATCAACTCAAAGAACTATACAAACTGAATGACACCATTGTTACCTGGTACAGTAAATTCTTAGAAGAAAAGTTCATTTGAAGTTGAGCTTTTCAAAATGAGGCTGAACAGTCACTCATCTCGTAAAAAATAATTTATTCCTAAGAAACTAGGTTGGATTATACTTTAACTTGAAGGTTATAACTTTTTTAAATATTCTCAGCAATAAATACTTCCTTTTTGATGTAGAGTGCAGCCTTCAAAGATAGTTCGAACAAATTATATGTTTTTACTATTTGTTGTAGAAACTAATTCAACACAGAGTACTTTTTATATGAAAGATAAAATTGTGGGCGAAAATCAACTACGGCAAAAACATTAACTTTATTTATAGCAACTATACATCATTTTTTTTTCGATAGAACATAAATAAACAAGGACAAAACAATCACTTAATGAAATATAATTCAACACTATTGTATACTCCTGTATATTTTCAATAAAAAAAAGAATTTTTTTATTGGATCCCATTCCACATAGGTCAACAATATGGGTTCGTTAGAAGACCACATCCATAGCAACCTTGATTTCCTGATTTAATTTCTGTATATTCTTTAGCATGAGATACTGAATGTTTCTAATATTTTGAAAATGTTTCTAATAATATACTCTTTTGCGAACTGTACCATTACATTACTTTATTTATTTTTTTATAGAAATTTGTTTTGAAAAAACAATATTACAGACAACTTTTACATACTGCTATTCAAGATATTATAATTAACTGCTCCAGCAGAATAATTAAAATTTTATACAAAATTTAAACTTATAGTCAATTATAAAGTGTATTTATTGCTTATGGTTCTGGCACAGTCTCAAAGCTAGTGATTTGTTTTGAAATATCTTGCAAAGAAAAGTAGTTTCCATCAGATTCATTCTACTAAGACTTATGATGACTCATGCCATTTCACATATTTATGTCTTAAACAAAAAAACCACAAATTGAGCACTCACTGTGAATCCAATTTTACTCGTTAACAAAAATATTTGGTTAGTTTGTTAGGAGTTATTTTGAGGAATCTCGTAAAAAGCTCTATCACATTTTTTTAGATTTTGCTGTCTTCCATGAATGAAATGCCGCACAATTCAGGTGAAATATTAGTGAATCAATGGTTTTGGTATTCTTTGAATGACATTATTTGTGGGATTAATTTTTTTGTAATTTTAATTTTAAATTATAGATTTTAATACATACTCTTTATATATGATGGATAAATTACAAGTTTGACAAACCTAAAAGTTACTGTGTAAAATGAACACTTCTACAGAAAAAAATCTATTGGACCTTTTCTTAAAAAAGTTCATAATCAAGTTCAATTCGACTTGGGTATTTTTTGTACATCTCTAATGAATCTGAATAAGTTTTCAGAAAAACAAATTCAAAAAATCATTCTTTTCATTTGGATTTAAAAATGTTATCAATTCAAGTTCATTTCGACTCTATGTTCTTATACATCTGTAATATAATAATGAATGTTTTCAATTCATTTGCATTCAAAATTGTGTTGAGTAATATGGAAGAATTAAGGATTCATTGTAGATATAGACTAGGCTCAACAATAACATATAAAATCCTCTTGTTCACACTGATACCCAAGCCGTGGCAAACTGAACGATTTCTCGGGAAAATAAGTGATACAATCAATAGTGACTCAGAGGGAGCAGCAGTCAATACAATCGATAGAAGAGTTCATATTGCACAGTAACTTTTTGGAGTGAACTTCTGTGGCCTTTACATTCATAAAGATTCATTGCTTGATGTTAATTTTTTCAAAATATAGAATCTATTAGATCTGGACAGAACCTTGAGGAGTGGTTTTAGGTTGTACTTACGGAATTACTTAAAGTAGAAGAAAGAAACAGACGTCTCAATTGTCTCAGTGTATATCACTGTTATTTTAGTTGTAACTGAATTTCATTACAGTTTGAATTAGAGTTGTAGAGAAAAATACTTTTACTGATGACGACAAATTAAACTGCAATGATATTTGTAATTTGAGGTGAAGATGCAAAATGCTCAATGAATAAGGTGACTTTGAAGAGGAATATGACAGTTGTTATTAGTGAGATTTCAACTGTGTGCTTCCAAATAGTTATCCCATTTATCATATGGAAATGTTAACTTATTTTCGGTCACATGTACTTCAAGGACAAGTGATATAAATTGAAGGGGTTTTATTTTTAAGAGTAACTAATTTTTGGGAAAGAAAGTTTTTGGCTTGGCAAAAACTTTCTTTCCAAGTGATATAAATAGTGGAATATGATTATATCCTTTTATATTTTCATTACTTATACAATAAAAGTCATCTTTATTCTTAGCTTTTATGAAATGTGATAAGAAAGTTGAATCAGTGTGAAACGCTTCAATACCTATATAAATTGTATTCGTTTTAATTGGTGAGTGCCTAATATATATTTGTTCACACTCAAAGGAGGAATGACAATAATTATTCTAAAATAAATTTTTTCAAATGGTATACGATTTTTATTGAATTGGAACCTGGATGAAAACTCTGGGGAAACGAAATTTGATGTTTGTATGATTGAATGTTACTATTTTCTGAAACACCAAATGCAGCTTGTGTTTGTTTAAACTCGCCAAATGCACTATTACCACTAAATACCATCTTGTCAAGCCATTAAATTTAGCTGTTCGGGTTCAAAATCAAGAAATCTTACATCGTTTGAAATCTTCGAATACAAATTTTGTGTTTGAAGCCACTGAATCAAACAAATATTACATTCAGTGACTCTTAACCCACGTTACAATTCCGTGGCTGGGAATATAAAAGTTGAATTCAGTTGCTCCATCCAAAATTTGATTCTGTGATTTTCAGTAGGATTGGACAAAGTTGCATTTAATGACTCTGACTCTAAAAGTATAAATACGAGTGAACATTAGCTTGCTAATCGTTCGTTGCTGAGACTTCAAGATATAGCATTAATCTTCACAGTAAAAATACATAGCACTCATGATCTGCCGCAGTTTCAGACGAAACGTTCGGTACTTCAGGCCTACTAACCCGGATTTTTCTCTCTCAATGTTATGTAGAGAAATATACTAAACTGGAATTTCTATGTAGGATAAAAAGTGGGACCTACAATTCAGTCTAAAAAAATGCCACATGTAGTCTTTAAATCAATTTTCAAATAGTTATAAATATATAAAAAAAATTGGAACAAATGTTTGCATGAAATATACTTTGTTTATTTCTCAACATATACAAAAAATATCACAGTGTAATTCAGAAGTGGTCACTCATAACAAGTTCTTTCCTGTAAAAAAGTTTTCCACAGTTGCTCAAACTCATCATTAGAATATGGCTTTCCTTTTTGTAGCAATAACTCCAAAGCCTTCGACTGGCACTTGCCAATATCCCAATGTTGATTCCAAGTATTTTCTTCATCGCTTCGAGGAATAGGTTTTGGGCATTTGTAAACATTTCTTTTTGGATGTTCTACTTCAAAGTTATTTTCGTGTACACGTTTACAAACATAACATTCAAAACCAGTAATTGGATGTTGGCTCAATACATTTTCTTCCAGTAAACTATTTGTAATTCGTCCAGATAACTTATGTCCCAGGAAACTTTCATACAATGTATCATTTTTATTCAATATATTGATGAAATTTGCTACTGCTTCCATATTCTTGAAATTTTTTACTAAAATAGCAGACTGTTCATTGGGAAGCCAATCCTAAAAAGTATCAAACTATGGAGAGCATTCTCTAATGAATGAATAATCAACACTTTTTTTTTGTTAATTTTGTTCATGGGAAACTCTAAGATCTATCAGCGATCTATCCATCTATAGATAGTGTTAGATCTGTAGCAACCTTACGAAAACTAAATGCAAAAACTACTCCAAGAATTAATTTCACTGGATACCACGTGAATAAGGCAAGTCATATCAGAGAAACCAAGGGATCGTTGAAAGTTTGTGATAGCGAGCACAAGAAAAACACCCAGCAAAAAAACTAACAAAAGGTGAAATAATCCGCAAAGGGGAACACTGGTTTGAAAGAAAGTTTGAAGAAGCTGCGAAATGTTGAAAACGTACGCATTTATTTGCATTTATTCAAAGACTACAAATTAACACTTTTTTGGACAATTAAAATATGAACCTTTATCATTCACCAATTTTTTTTTTCGGCAACCATATGTGATAACATTGTATACAGTCGGTTTTTAAGGTTGCATTACTGAACTTTCCTATACAATTTTGTAATGTCAAAAGGAACATAAACATATTATACAAATCAGTACTTAGCCTTTGAAATCTTTTTACCATGGAAAGACATGCGAATAATCAACGACATCTTTGTTGAAAATTTGAAATGGAAAAAAAAACCATTTGGAACTCGGAAAGTCAAACAGCAAAGTGTAGCTGAAAATAACAATTATATTAAGCAAAAAATCCTGAACTGAAATAAAAATAAAATACAAAACAATTGAAAAATGGAATAAAAATTATGATGTTTGTCATCACCCGAAGACGATTGTGGATACTAACAATTGAAACGTCGTGAAGTAACTTGGGTTGAAATATTTTAATTTTTATTTCTTTTTAATTGTTCAATTGTTGCATGTCTTTTATTTTATTGTAATTTCAGTTCAGGGTTTTTTGCTTAATATAATTGTTATTTTCAGCTATTCTTTTTAATTTTATTGATTATTTCAGGGATTTCAAATTATTTTATATCATGTTAGACAACAGAAGTCTGAACTAATGAAATTTTTGGATATGACCATCATTGTTAGTAATTCAGTTCAGGTTATATTATAAACAATATACATACTTCAATATTGGGGGCCCCTAAATATATGGGAATCGAACCAACAATAATTGGTCTCCAAAACTTTTCTGTAACATAGTCATCACATATTGCATTTTCAAATGCAATTATGAATTTGTATTTAGATATAAACTCCAAATATTCATTATTATAAAGGTCCAAAGGAAATACAGTTTTTAATCTGAAAAAGAAATTGCAAAAGTACTTGGTGCAATTGATCATATAGATAACATACTCTTTCGGAAATTCTTTATTTTTAAGACATTTACCATAACTGTCAATTTCAACATATTTGGCCAATTTTTTCACCAAATAATCTCTTCCTAGTGGTGTGTCACAGTCAGATTGAATATATAACACTGGAGCTTGTGTTTTCAAATAAGTGTTTTTAATCTCTACGGGAATATAATATTTGTTATCTGAAAAATAAAAAGATACTGGAGAGGATGAGATAACTTTTGTATTAATAATACCTGTTATAGACATGAGATTTGCCAGATACTGCAAGGTTATTGGAAAATCACTGTATCTGCTAAATGTGGAGGTAATATTAAACAAATGTTGAATTTCAAATAGAAATGGGGCATAATTTTTTGGTGATTCTTCGTGGAATATGGCCCATGATGCAGTTCTAGGTAGAGGAAAATCATTGTTTTCAATGTGGCTACCATATATTAAAAAAGCCTGAATATAGAATTATGATAGAAGAGATAAATGATGAAGATTTATTTATGCATCAATCCTAAGTAGTTCAATGGGAACATTCATGAATACAAACATTGGTCAACATGAATTCTTACAACTCAACTTTGGACTGCTACATGAATCAACCTTAAATAAAACAAGAACTCACTCCCAAATCAATGTGATTCGTGAATGATCTATCACTAGTTACTATACATTCATATTCTCCACCATAACATTTTATTATTCTGTTGGAGGCAGGCATAAATGGGGTCCACCAAATTAAAACCACTTTCTTTGTGTTATTTTGAAATATCTATAAATCAGAGATATTAAGTATTTTTAATTCATCCAAAGTTCCCTGTAATCACCTTGATAACATGGTAGATAATGAAAATCCCTATTAAAATTTTGCTTAACCTCCCCCCTAGTTTCAATACTTTCAAATAACTATAGGGGATCATTTTTACTGTATTATAATTCTCGTACCCTTATTTACAAACACCCAGTCAACTAGGTTAAAAGTCAAGGAAACAGCAAAGACACGGTATTTTGTATATATACAGAAATACTGTGGCAAAGATGCATAGAAACCAGTGTTGCCACTTCCTAATTGTAAAATTATCCACCAGTCCTCAAGTTTGTCTGTTAAATCTTCTTTTTCGGGTTTATACTTGGTACATTTCAACTAACGATTATGGACATAATCGTTGCATTTCAACGCCAAGCAAGCGTTACTGATTCCATCTGTTAACCGATTCCGTTTGTCTTAATATTATTTAATGCTGAGAACACTGTCTCACAAAAATATGTGGATGAAAAAAATTTTTGCAAAGCTAAATCTTTCAATTTGTAAAACTGTAAGGTAATCTGTTCCAAGATTTCAAAATTTCTCCTTCGTAGTTGTACTCATTTTCATTCTTTAAACGATTCCGTTTCATATTCCCAACTACTGATCTCAATTCGACAAATTCTCGAAATCGTCAGTTTGCATCCATTGAAAATCCTTTAATTCCATAATAATTTAATCAACTACATCAGGATACGTATTATTTCATTTTGCTTTTCTAGGCTACTAAACTGGTTTTAACTTTTATTAAACTGTTAGTAATTTAATGAATTTATTGAATTCTGGTACAGAAGTATGAATTCCATTTCACATGGTGTTGTAAAGAAATATTTCTTTATGCGAGGAAAATACTTATATGTTTTAGTTTCGATATCTTGTATCTTTAGGTCTACAACGTAATTTTGACAATAGTTTATGTCTTATTTCTTCTTTTTTTTCATTTGTAGGTCGGTCATGCTTTGTGTTGACATGTGTAGACATTTTTTTCTGACTGCAGAATATTTTAGATATTGTTTGTGTTGTCCAATATTTATGACTTACTTTGATTGTATATGACTTGCTATAAACATATTTGAGTATTTAACATATTAAATAAACTTACTTTACATTTCCTTTTTCACTGTCACCTGTCACATGGGATACTCCATTGGGGTAGTCATCAGAATTATAGCTGGAGCTCCATTCGACGCAGACTTTCAACCACTTTTAGAAAATGGGAATAATGTCTTTGCTTGCATGTTGATTTTCTACTTACTGTTACAAATAGGTATATGAAAACAAAACACTACTCTCAAAACACCCAGATTTATAATTATGAAATTAGAAATGCGGGACAGCCAAGATTTAGATTTGAAATGTCATTACAAAATTCTTTAGATGTTAAATTATTTAACAAACTTTCATATAAATTGCCTAAATTGAATTTTAATCGTTCAAAAGGAAAATCAAACAGTGTACCTTATACAAAATTGTTTTTATTTTGTACTTGATTTCATGCAAAATACATATTCAAACTAAATAGGCCGATGATGTGCTCAACTCCTTAATGTTTTACATATACATCTATTTATATATTAAAGATTTTTTTATAATTCGATTCTCTATTTGTTATCTATCTTGTAAATCATTTTTAAATTTAAATTTGATGCTGCTCTTATATTTTTTACTCTATTTGTTTCCTCTTCTGTCCGAATTAGCACATTACTCAATGAAATAATTCATTGTATTACAACAGATAAACCGATTTGCACTATTGGAAATATAACAATATTATTTTTCATCGATCTTTATTGGGTATTTTCACCTTCCACAATCTGAAAAATATTAAAATCATAATGGAGAAATTTATACAGGTGTAGGAAGAGCAAATATTTCAGTTTACCCCGATAACTTACTGCGTGAAATATAAGTCTTTTCATAAAAAAAAACGTTTTATTCATCAGTAACTTGTGGTATTTAACAATTTTGCCTATAAAACAAAATAGCTAAAAAATAATAGAATAGAAATTGACGAAAAATTCAAATATATATGCAGTTATTCCTTTACTGATTATTATTTCTCAACTTCTGTGAAATGTACCTTGATTTTACGCATTAACTTATCGGGGTAAACTAAAAAGTTTGCCCTTTCTACACCTGTATAAAATTCTCCATTATAATTTTCATATTTTAGAAGGTGAAAATACCCAAAAAAAGATCGATAAAAAACTGATTTTCCTTCACTAAAAATTACTTTCGTTCAATATTATTTTATAATATTACATTAATAAATAATTCACTTTAACATGAGTGACGACAACTCGAAAAATGGCATCATAGCATTGTTTACAACGGGATACCTAGGTTCTAACTACTTCTCAGTTCCTAATATACAGCTAAATATTGACGTATGAAATGATTAGATTGCCCAAATATGGTTCAGTAGTATATTAGTAGCACCCACACAAGCGCGTTTTAGTACTAAGATATAGTTATGAGTTCAAGTAACATTTTATTGAGAGATTCTCACTGAAAAGTTTATAAATACACATGTGTTTCGCTAAAAAATAGCTTCCTCATGTGTTTTCGTCTCCAGCACAGTAGAGTATAGTGAAATACTTGTGGTTTTGTTTATTATTATATGTCTAGTGGAAATCTAACATCTAACCATAAAGTGTTATTTGAATATGATTACTTGAATTTGATGGCTCTGAATGTAAAGCGGGTAGCGGGTAGAGACAGCTGCCGCAGAGCATATCAACCATAAGCAAGATGGTGATATGCATCGTTATGGCGAGTTCATATTAGAACGATTGCGATAATATTTTTGCGTTTCCGCAAATTTGCCTCAATTGTCAAAATATCCTGTTCATGTTGAAGCGGGCAATATCTAGGGATTTCATTGTTGAATTATAAATTTTATTACATGAACTTGAATGATGACATACGACTCATACGAATTACGACTTTTAAGACTAGACCCCATCATATCAGAATATAGGACTAACAATTTCTCAAGTTTTGTTTAATAGAAGCGTGTCTTCAAACCACTTATCTTAACGTTACTGCCTGCAGGGGTGAGGGTTTTTTTGCAGAATGAGTGTTCTTTTAATGAGGGGCCAACCAAATTCAATAATTCATTGAATAATGAGAGAGTGAGCCTGAAATAGTTGAAATATTTCTCTGGATCACTAATTCTCATTTATTTCAGCCACAAGATTGAGATATTCTCCATATTTTCTTCTATTTTTGAAAATATTTTCCACTATAAAGACGGGGTTTCCTCAGTGAAGCTTTTTACGGTAAAGTTGATATAATTTGAACAACCTGACACATTCGTCCATTTCGGATTCAATTTCGATGTATGGGCTTAAAAAACGAGAGTCAAAGAAATATAACCTCATTGTATATTGACGTATAATATTTTGCGGAAATCGCAAAAAAATTCAATTTTTTACGATAAACACGACGCCATTTTAAATCGCACTTTTTATGCGATGTTCGTTCCAACATGAACTAGCCTTTAGAATAACAAATGACGAGATGACATTCTTTGAAAACTTACAATTCTATTACAAACTAATTTAATCATTACATACTGTTGACGTTAAACAATAAAGGCAAATCATTTAATTCTAAGGGTAACAATAAACTGATTCATTATATTTTTTTTGACAATTTTGTATTTTATGGCAGGATCTGGTATAGATACAAGCAAATTAATAAAATTGTGGTGTCGGGCCCAGTCCGGTTTCCAAGACATTCGATTCACGTTGAAAATTTCATCTTTTCTACGGTATTTGTAGGCGAGTGGCGCCAACTGTTGAGTTTAACGTCAAATTGAGTTTAAATTGTAGACGTAGAGTATTTTCAAATTTGATTATTTTGAAAAATGTATGCGTTGAGATTTCGATATCAATTAATGTAAAGGAAAAAATGGTAGGCCTTTTCTCTGTTTTTGTTGGTTTGGCATCACCGGTAATAAAATCAACTGCGCAAGTTTTGTAAATTTTGACAGTGAACTTTTTTAATATTCAAGTCAAGGTTAACGGGTCCAACTTCGCAGTTTTCTGTCTTTCTTCGGTTTGCCGCCGTTAACAGAGCAGGCATTTTGGTTGTTCGCTGGCAGCTGCATTAATTGTAAATCGAAAGAGGTGAGGCAGTGACAACTTCAATAATTTATTCCTAATAGTTTCGTCAGAGGTTGTATTGAAGATTTTTTCACGCTCAATTGTTTATGAATTACGTCTGAAATTGAATATAATTTGACATTTTTTATTTCGGGTTTATGAGCACGTGTACTAAGTTTCTTAATAACGTAGTTATCACGTAATAAATTTTCTCTATTATTCTAGCCGGTTTTCATTGTTCTTTCACGATTTTCATTCCTAAAACAAAGTAAATCTTACTGGCGTTTTTGTAGCAAAATGACAACTGAACACGAAAAACCCGGAGATTGTGGTGACGAAGTAGAATCAGTCGAAGAGGAAGAGACTGGACAAAACATCGCCAGAATCCTAGATTTTCCAAACGTTCTGGCCGCTATACAGAGTCAGCGACATGCTGAAATGCTGGCTCTGCTACCGGATTCTGTGAAAAGGAGAATTAAAGCTCTGAAAAAAATTCAGTTAGAAGCTACGAATATTGAATCAAAGTTTTTCAAAGAAGTGCATGAATTGGAATGCAAATATCACAGGCTCTATGTGCCTCTTTATGAGAAGAGAAATACTATCGTTAATGGTTTATATGAACCAACCGACGATGAATCTCAATGGCCTTCCGATAACGAAGAAGAAATTGGCGAAAATACCAAAGAAAAGGAAGATCTTCCTGATGCTTTGAAAGATAAACTCACCATAGAAGATGCCAAGAAGGAAGACAAAGACGTGAAAGGAATTCCTGAATTTTGGTTGACAATTTTTAGAAATGTCAACTTACTATCTGAAATGGTTCAACCACATGATGTTCCCATTCTGAAACACTTGACTGATATCAAGACTATTTGCAAGGAAGATCCAATGGTAAGATGTACTTTGACTTTTATTTATGTCAATAGATAATTTTTCATCATCAAGGGTAGCACAATATTTAAATTTTTTTCAAGCAACATACACATTTTCATTCGACAATAATGAAGTTTAATCATCATGAAAAATTACCTGTAATCTAATGATATTTGTGGGCTGATCGAGCAACAAACAACCTCACAAAATATTACTTTAGAAGATATCAACAGTAATCATGATGAGCATAATAAAATATAATAATTTACTTAACAAGTTCGAAATATACTGTTGTGTTCTTTGGACGAGTAGACAGAATTCTAGAATGAGTCATAGGTGAGTCCTGGAAGTCTGCTGGTCCAAAAAAACTGTTTTTTGAAGTATCGCATACAATATTTTCTTGGCATGTAGAGTAACTAATCAGACACATTTTTTGTTAAATTTCTTTGTAGAACAAAATTTTGAACATTTTAATTCTTATTTGTATCAAGTATTGAAATTCGAACAGAAGATAGGTACTAACAGAAACATTCTGAATCTTAATTATGTTAATATTTATTTGAAAATTCGAGCAATTGCGGATATTGAAGGGATTCAATTTGTTTGAAATGCTTGGTTTATTCGAATGCTGAAGACAGAACAGGAATGTAAAGTTTCTGTTTTACATTGATTGTTTTCATCTGATAATTTTTGAATGGTCTTAGCAACAATTTTGTTTGTGAATGAATTGTCTATATATCCTTTCGAAATAGTGGTAGGCTTCCAGCCACCGCGTTTCTTCAAATTTCCACCACCATTATCAGCAAAAAAATTCACGAATAATGTTACGTGGAGTATGGGATAGCCATAAAGATGAATATTGCCTATAAAACAGCAGGTTTTTTGCCCAATTATAACAAAAGTTCTCTCAATGTGTTCTGTAATCTGGTATTTTCACAAGCAACCTGTCGTCCTTGTCATTTATTAGATCATTTTACTTTTTTGTTAGATCTCCCCATCTACACGCTCTAGATAACTCAATATTTGTTGCTACCTAAAAATGAAGCAAATTATGTTGATAATATTTTGTTAAAATTACATTTAGCATTAGATATGTTACATTATTTACTTCTCTAATGAATTTGTTGAATTGTTTGCTGTTGAAGACTCCCAATTTGAAAAGAGAAATGAAACTTTCTGTTTTTACCACTTTTATTTGTAGCTAACTTTACTGCAGTTTCGTCCTACAAGGACATTTTCAAACTTATACAATAAACTAACAATGATTCATTACACTAGCCATTATATACCACCCCTGTAGGTACTAATAGAGGTACTTGGCTTGATTGAGTACCTGAATTTACAGTTCACAATGCGGATCTGCCAATTTAAAAACCGGCGAGTAAACTAAATCGATTTGATCATTTAACAGGTTGCACCTGCAATGTTAAATGTTCTGTTAAATGATCACATCGATTTAGAGCGCCCGTACATGAGCCACATTTTGCGGTCGGATCGACCACACAATTGCAGTCGCGTTCCAGCGATCTCAAGCCGCCCATAAGAAATACTGTACTACACGTACACGAGCGTTCACAAAAGTCAAAATGGACTTCTGCAGTCAACTTGCTGCTGATCTCCGCCGAGATGTCATCGCGGCATCCGCCGTACACTAACCACAAACTTGCAGTCGTACCCAACCACGTACATATTGGTCTCACAGCATTCAATTTTTTATGTCAGTCGCCTCAACTGCAAGTGCGGTTTATATGACAGCAAGTCGACCACAAAAATGTTTTTGGGTCAACCGCGAAGTGCAGTCAACGTGGCCACAATGTTGTGGTTGCCTCAACTGCAAACATGTGGTCCGTGTACGGCCGGACTTAGTTTACTCGCCGGTTTTTAAATTGGCAGATCCGCATTGTGAACTGTAAATTCAGGTACTCAATCAAGCCAAGTACCTCTATTAGTACCTACAGGGGTGGTATATAATGGCTTATATAATGAATCATTTTTAATTATTGTATAAGTTTGAAAATGTCTGTATAGGACGAAACTGCAGTAACGTTAGTTACAAATAAAAGTGGTAAAAAACATAAAGTTTCATTTCTCTTTTCATAATGATTTTCTACCACCTAGTAATGGCTACATCCATCAATTTATTGACTCCCAATTTCTTTATTTCATAACCAACCTTGTGGCTACATTTACTTTTTTTTACAAGGACATTTTCGAATGTATACAAGTGGTAAAAAACAGGGAGTTTTATTTGTCATTTTTCATATTAATATTCTTTCCGGCCAGTTCGGGAAGTACTTACTTCCCGAACTGAAGATGCCACTATTTTGATGCAAATGAACTATATGTAGCCACTGATAAGGCATATATTAGGGAAATGAAAAACTTGTGTTTGTTTAGAGCCATAAGGATCCTGCCAATTACTGATTTTTAATTTTTACCAATTAGCTACTTAAGGTGGGTGTTCATCCTAGGCAATTACCTTTGGCACAAAGGTTTTGAGATCCGGAATAAAGTGAATTTAGGCTTTTTACTTTTACTAACAAAAAGGTTATGAAAATAGTTCAAGTGAAAGCAATGTTCACTTTTGTTAGAGAATGTTTATTTAGTCGTGACCACAATAATTATATGGCGGTATCATATAATCCTATTGATGCAGTTACTTATGCACCTTGCAATTGTAAAGGGAGTAGAAAGGTTATTTTGGTGGCAGTTAACAAGCATATCTGTTCGGAAGCATAGATGTCAGATTGAGATAGGTGTTGACAGCTGATACTCATGTTAGGAAATTCTGAAAGTATTCAGTAGCGTGCCACTTCACTTCAATTATATGAATTAATTTTTGATATTCACAATATTTTTGGATGTAAATTAGGTAGTACTTTTGTTACCTTTATGAGGCATTTAAACATGCTTCAAATTATATTTCCAAACAGTTGTTAGACCTATGTTGTCTCACAACCCTTCTCACTGGTCATTGTCGTCTGAATTATATAATGAGATTTCGTACTGTTGGAAGACAGTGTGTGCCTTTATGATGAAACAGGAAAGCATATATTTTGTGCTTTGCTACAGGGCAGGTTTTAAGGGCATTTTCATTTATAAATGGCTATCCAATTGCGAATATATGCATTAAGATCTCTTAAACAGTAAGAGATAGAGAATGGTTAAATTGAGAACATTTTCGTGTACTATTAAACGATATCAAAAAATTTCAAATTCTATTTCAGCTCTACCTTCTTTGTACACAGAAATTTTGAAAAAATTTTCAAACATTGCAATGAGAACTCTCAATTGTTACCATGTTAGGAATCACACGTTAAAAGGTTAGACTCATTAGTTCTTAGCTCGCATGAGTTTCTCAACTTCTGAGAGTTGTTGTTCGTATAGGGGTGACAGCTGATTAACGAAAAAAAAAAAACAATTGGGTATCAGAATATGTCATTGAATTTTTATACAGGTTGGACCACCCTCAAATTTTAAATATGGGTCTGTATTTTCGTACTGATTATTCAATTAACAAGGGAATATAATATTGTGAAATAAAAATTAATTCTTTATAATTCTGTTGGGTTTCAAATATTTGATAAAACAATGTTACCTGGACTCTCAGGAATATTGAAGCCAATTCAATTTATGAATATTATAATGAACATTGCCAAAAAATACAGGTGAAATTATTTAGTGACACCTTGCAACGAAGAATAATGGAAAAAAATTACTCCAGTAGTTCAAAAACCATTTTGTAATACATTCATTCGAATAACGGACTGTGTCAACGAAAATATTATCATATGACAATAAGTCATATTGTGATATGATATTAGATAATTATAAAATTTTGAAGAACCATTCCTTTCGAAGTGCTAGTTTATATGTTAGAATGATGAATACCTTCATGTTTTGAGAACTTTGTGTAAAATATTTACTTTAATAATAGGTTTTTCTTTTCAGAGTTTCATTCTTGAATTTCACTTTTCGCCAAATGAGTATTTCACCAATCTTGTACTCACAAAAGAATACGAAATGAAATGTGCCCCAGAAGAGGAAGATCCCTTCAGCTTTGAAGGTCCTGAGATCTACAAATGCACAGGATGCGTTATTAACTGGAACAAGGGCAAAAACGTTACCTTGAAAACAGTCAAGAAAAAGCAAAAACATAAGAGTCGTGGCGTTATTCGCACTGTTACAAAGACTGTTCAGAATGACTCATTCTTCAATTTCTTCAGCCCTCCTGCTATTCCCGATGATACTAAAGAAGATGATGTCGATGAAGACTTGAGAAATACACTGACCGCTGACTTTGAAATCGGTCACTACATCAGAGAAAGGGTCGTACCCAGAGCTGTGCTTTTCTTTACTGGTGAAGGCTGTGAGGACGAAGATGAATTTGAGGAAGAGGAGGAAGAAGATGATGATGAGGAAGACGGAGATTCTGATAGTAAAGAAACCAGTGGTAAAACTACTAAAGATCAGAACTGTAAACAGCAGTAGTAGATCTTGGGATTATCCGTTTACAACATATATGCTTTAAAACACTTGATATTACAGTTAATCTCCTTATTTTTGTACCGAATATGTTTTTAATATTCTATTTATTTGGCTGTATAAATTGTATACCCACCCACAGAACGTTGTAATTGATTTAGGAAAATATTTTAAATTGTTGTAGTCCTGTTGTACTCAAGTATTAGTATTGTGCTTAGTAAATTTTGTAATGTTTCCTAAATTTGTTTTGTGAATGAAATATTAAAACAGTTTCATAATAGAGTGATTTTTTTTCTATGACCCTGAAAATATAATTTTCTCAGCCGATAAAACAAACGAAATATATACTGACACTGTAATTGATGACAGGTTTAATGAATTCAACAATAAAATGAAGAAGCTTTAAAAAATAAAAAACTAATGCTGAAAATAATGGAAAATATAAGAATGAGAACAAGCTGGATTAAGCAAAGTTTGATTTGCGGTCAATATAGGTTTCGTTACTTTTTATTATATGGCAGAATTTATATATTAAAAATTTTTTCAGTTCTCAAACTAATGTTACGAAACCATCCTTTTTTTATAATTTTCTCATCTGAAATAAAATGGCGCTTATTGAATGTTAGTTATGCTATTAATTTTTCCATTCTCTACAAATTGAAATAAATATAGTTGTGAATGAAGTAATAAAAAAAAATTGAAACTTCCTGTTTTTACCACTTTTGTTTATGACTAACGTTACTGTAGTTTCGTCCTATAAGGACATTTTCAAACTTATAAATTTAATGTATACATGTTAAGTGTTACTTTTAGAAAAAAAATTGAAGAAAAAGCTCTTCTAAATATTTACCTCTTTCAATTTAAACCTGATGTATTAACATTTATGTAAACTATTCTTTGTTAAAAAAAATAACTAAATTGCAAACTGACGAAGTGAGCTGTAGCACCCTTACGAACGACAACAAGAGTCACATGCTCTAACTAATCTTCTCTGGTAAATACCCTTCAATTTATCAAAATGGACTCTCGACGTCCCATAGACTCTTCAATTTTCTTATACGATAATTTGTTTATAAAATGCGAAGGCGGTGGAAGGCCACAGAAATTTTAATTATAATCGATAGTCTGAACTGTCGATATGCTAAAATATAATTGACAGTTCAGACTCTCAATGAATTATAACTGACCATTCGAATGGCCAATTAGTCATATTCAACAGTTTAGATTGTCATTATGTATAATCAACGGTTTGAATTTTCGATAATTAATTCTTTGTTTAAGGATAATTTGGTTCAATTTAGGATAATTGACAGTTTGGAACTATAAATTATATTAGGCTGTTTCAAAAGTTTTGTCCGTTTTAATATCATGCGTTTTTGTAACTCCATATCTCAATAAGTATTTATTCCACTATGTGATGGTATATACTGATCGATTGAGGATTTTGTACTCAATACAATGATGCTGTTCATTTTTTCCAAGTTTCAAGTTGTGCCTCTTTTTCAGTTTCATGATGTCGTTAAGCGTTTTCGTGCAATTTTTCTCTACAAATTCAAATTGAACCAAAGGGCTGCCGAAACAGCCCGAAAAATTAACCAGGCATTTGGTAATTATTTAATGAACGCACTGTTCAACGTTGGTTTACGAAATTTCATTCCGGAGATTTTAGCCTCGAAGATGAGCCCCGAAGTTGACTACCTACAGTAATCCAGAACGAGGATTTGAAGACCCTGGTGGAGACTGACCTATCCCAAACTGGGCGTGGGATGGTTAAAGAACTGGCCATCAGCTCCCATACCATTATTTTGATGGTTCGAAACGTATTGGAAAGAAGGTCAGAATGCTCGAAAAGTAGGTGCTCCACGATTTGAATGATCAACAGAAATTGTCACGTTTCAAAGTGTGTTCATCTTTGCTTTTACACAACCAAAAATTTTTTTTTGATTGGATAGCCACGTGTGATGAAAAGTGGATCCTCTATGACAACAAGAGACGTTCAGGACAGTGGTTGGACACCGTTGGGCCACCCAGGCAATATCCAAAGGCGAAAACCCACCAAAAAGACCTTTTTACTGTATGGTGTTCACTATAACTTTCTGTAACGGGGCAAAACCATTATAGCCGAGTCCTATTGTGAGGAAATCGATAAAATGTGCTGAAAAATTTTGTCAGCATCAACTGGCACTGGTTAATAAAAGAAGTCAGATCCTGCTCCAGGGCAACGCCCGTCGAAGTTCTGCCTCACCCACTATACTCCCCAGACCTCTCGCTAACCGACTACCATCTTTTCAAGCACTTCGATAACTTTCTCACCGACCTTCGTCGACTTCATTCATCAAATCCTGAGCACAAAGTTTTTATGCTGACGAAATTAATGGACTTGTTATGTTGGCAAAAGTGCACTGATTCTAATGGCGCTTATTTCGATTAATGTTTCACTTGAAACGTCAAGAAGAGTACTTCGACCACGCCACTGAAGATGACTGTTCTCGGTATATTTTTTGTTTATTCAACGAGGGCTTTCGATACGCTGAACCCAAACATACTCGAAAGAAAACTGGAACGGTTAGGATTGCGGGACCCTATTAAGGACTGGATAATTTCCTATGTAACGGAAAGGCAATTATTTGTGAAAATTGGGAATGATCTCTCTAGCCAATATAATGTAGGTATTGGAACCCCTCAAGGTAGTCTCTTAGGACCACTCTTATTTCTGTTGTACATAAATGACCTAGCTGACTTCATTGAAGGGGGAAAGGTGTTTATGTATGCTGACGACACGATAATAATAGTGACGGGCTCCTCGCTGAGTACTCTATATGTGAAAGTGACCTCAGTAGTGAACCAATTCCATGAATTGTGTACAAGAAATCATCTTGTGGTGAACCTACAAAAAACTTTGTTCATTCGATTTAACAGTGCACGTAGTAATAAACCAAACCTGGTCAATGTCAATATAAATAACAATCAACATGAAAAATCAAGCTCAACAAAATTCTTAGGCATACATCTCGATAATAACATAACGTGGATCCAACAAACAGATAATTCATGTAACAAAGTCAAAAAAAAGCTGCTTTGCCTTCCTAACACTAAAAAAATCTCTTCATGAATCATCTCTCCTGAAAGTATATTATTTCGTAGTCTACTCGACCTTATTATTCAACATAATCAGTTGGGGTCTTGCAACTGAGTGGACTAGAGTCTTTGTTCTCCAAAAACACATAATAAGAATTATATATAAAATGAAACCTTTTGACTCATGCCGAGAAGTATTTAAACAAAAGGGTATATTGACATTTCCCTGCATATACATTTTAAATATATTACTGTATATACATACTAATATCAATCAATCAAATATACTTTAGTGTCTGAAGAACTACATCTTGTAGACAAAGTCATACATAATATGTAAGATACAAAAATCTACATAAAAAAACATATACAATTTAAAAAATTCAGTCGTTTCATTCTTTGATCTTCATAAGCTATTCAATGAAAATCAATTTGGTTTTAGAAAGGGACGTTCAACAACACAAGCTGTAATGAAACTACTAAAAGAGCTATGTAATAGTCTAGATATGGGTAATCGAACTCTGGGTATTTTCTTAGATCTAAGTAAGGCATTTGATCTTGTAGACCACAGAATTCTACTAGACATAATATATTATAATTTTACCTAGTTATAAGTTTTAATATATAATTTTACATAACTGTTCATATCCTATATGTACATAATTTTTTCTTTTTTATAAGTTTATTTATATCATATTACACTGACTTGTTCTATATCATTGAGTTATGATCCAGAAGAACCAATAAAATATTATTATTATTATTACACAATTTAAACAAAATACAATAAACATAAGCTAAAAATGTGAAATACACTGAGGTATTCAGCTGGAAATAACAGGACATAGAAATAATAGTTAAGATTCAAGTGAATCGTCAAGATACTCCTGAACTGAATAATAGGCCCTATCAACAAGTAGTATTTTAACTGCTTTTTTGAATTTGTCAAGCACTATAATTTCTTTAATTCGGGCTGGTAAGTGGTTAAACAGTTTGATCTCGTTGAATATAATTGAATCCCTAACAAGGGAGCTCGCAGGAATAGGCAGATCTATGTTACTATTGTGGCTACGAGTATTATATGCACAAGAATAATTTTTTTTGATCAAGCAAATTGATTCCAAGATAAACAGGGCAGCTACTGTTAGAATACCGTGAGTTATGAAAAGAGGCTTGCATGGATCCCTGGGAGCTGCTTTGCACATATATCAGACAGCCCTTTTTTGGAGCACAAAAATAATTTGAAATAAATCTCTAGAACAGACTCCCCAGAAGGCAATTCCATATTCAATATGGAATTAGAGCGAAATAAGCTGTTCTTGAATGGGAGTAGCCTTGTTCTCTAGAAATCACTCTTAGTGCATAGCAACCTGAGGCAAGCTTCTTGCTTAAGTTTATTGTGTGATTTTTAAATTTCAGTTTATCATCAATGTTCAACCCTAGAAACTTATAATTATGTACCCTGTCTAAGATTTTGTCACCAAGGCAGATCTCAGGTAAGTTGCAGTGGAAAGTAAGTATGCTAGTTTTATTGATATTAAATGATAACTTATTGCAGTCACACCATTCTTTGATTTTGTTGATATCAGCTGAGATGGCATCTTGAAGGGTAGGAATGTCATGTAGGTGTGTCATCAGCAAAGAGAGTAATTGTGGCCGTTATATCTATAAAAGCTAAGTCATTTATGTAGATAAGAAACAAAATTGGGTCAAGGATCGATCCTTGTGGTACACCACATTTGATAGTTTGAGCAGAGGAACACTCTGTTGTAACTACCTGTTTGCGACCTGATAAGTACGAATGAAACCAGTAGAGAGTTGCCTCTGAAGCCATACTGTTGCAACTTATTAAGAAGGATCTCATGGTTGACACAGTCGAAAGCTTTCGATAGATGTTACTATCATTGCAAAAACATAAAATTCTGCTTTTCACTAGTTTTTCTATGAGTTTAGCAAGGGTAGGAATAAGTGCTATAGGACGGAAGTTGGAAGGGTCATCATTGGGTCCACACTTATTCAAAGGGATTATCAGAGATGTCTTCAGAAACGATGGGAACTCGCCAGATTCAAAAGACTGATTTATGAGTTGTGATAAAACCACTAAGGTTGAATAAGGTAGATTTTCAAAAATTTTAACAGAAATATCGTCTATACCTTTGCTATTCTTGTTTTTGATATTTTTGATAACTGCTATTATTTCCTCGGGATTTGTTTCATAGAGGGAGAAACTTTCTGATATGTCAATATTGGAAAGAAAATTTAAGGGATTAACAGTTGATGATATATTTTCGGTGAGTTTGTTCGCTATGGTGCAATAGAAGTTATTTAATAAATTGGGATCCAAGCCTACTTCGGATGAATGTTTATTGGACTTTCCTTAGATTTATTTCATGCTATATTTAGTCTATGTTTATAGTAATTGATAAATGAAGTTTGGTTAGGATCTACAAATTTTCGTATATAATGTAATGATCTTAGGTTCTTGGCAGAGATTTTAATACCTTTAGTCAACCAGAGTTTTCTATTTTTAATTTTGATTTTTTGTAGAGGAAATGATTTATTAAAATTTTCTAATAACCCATTGTAGAATGCCTCAAAAGGGTGAGAATGTTGTTTGCTCACAACGTTGATAAAACCTATTATAGTTCCGCTTGCTGAATAAACGACTCCTTTTATCACATTTACTGGCAGTTTTGGAAGGGAATTTGGAGGAAAAGACTACAGCTTCATGATCCGATAGCTCAGAAGGGATACCCGAGCGATCAATGTTTGTTAAATCTAAATTACTGCAAATGTAGTCTATTAATGAAGCTGAGTATTGAAAGATACGAGTGTGACAGTTTACATGCATGGATAAATTGACAGATGTAAGGAGATTGGTTAATAGTAAGGTACTTGTGGAGCAGGAGTCTTCAAAATTGATGTTAAGGTCGCCAGCAAGAATAACCGATGAACTATTTGGTAGTTGCGAGAGTAATGATTCCAAGTGTTTTAAGAACAAATTTATGTCCGATGAAGGAGTCCTATATATGCATATTATGTATAATTTGAGTTCTGAGCAGTATATCACACAAAATTCAAATTTCAAGTTGCAATGTATTAAACTTGTCAATGTTAATAAAGGAGGGTCCGTTCTGGAAATTTTTGATCAAAATTTAAAGTTCCACCATGAATGTGATCTGTTCGATTGAAGTTGGAAATTATTGAGTATCCTGGCACGTGAGCAGATTTACCTGACTTGAGCCAATGTTCAGTCAAAAGGACTAATTTAGGAAAATTCTGGCTTTCTAAGAAAATAAATAATTCATCGGTCTTGTGGCGGATTGACTGGATATTCAGCAGTAGGATTGTCAGTTGCTGTGGTGAAAGGAGGTTCTTGGGAATACATGCTAAGTTGTTAGTGACCCGACAAAGATAGTTTTCTGAAAATTTCGATTATTACTTTCTAGACGTGACAGTTCCTCATATAAACAGACGTTTTGGCAATCTTTACTTTTGCAACATTTAAAACTTGACGTCATTTTGGGTTGGTCCATATCGTCTTAAATTCAAGATTCGTCAATTAGCCAGTGGGGAACTCAGTTTGGCTAATCCCCTTAAGTGCCTCCGAAAAAAAGACAAAAGAACTTCTGTTTTGTCAGTTTTTCAATCCAAAAATATTTGTTTTTCACAATTATGCACTACAGTTTCAAATGCATTAAATCAAAGCATTAGCCAAAACATAATGCAATCTAGACAACAACTGTAGATTTGTGCAACGCAAAATTTTGGGTGCTTGTTGTATTAAGATTAACTTAAACTTAACTAATAAAGATTGCTATGCTAAAAATGGTGACAAACACAGGTATGAAATAAGAAATCACCACAACATAATGGACTTACACTATACAATTATATATCAAAGGGGTATGCCAACCAGGGGCATGCCAACCAGCCAGCATGCCCCTTGCCGGCCAGTAATACACTCATCCAAAAATAAACTTTAATCAGTCACTATCTGAAGACAAATTTGATTCATCTTCACTGCTGCTATCGTCATTTTAATTTATAATCACTGGATTTACCTCTGTTTGAACGTCTACGAATGTTTCATTTTCCCAATATTTCCGCTCAATATCTACTATATGTCGGCAACGCTTTTGCCATTCCTCGAAAGTGATCAAACTCGTGCTCAGCCAGTTCCCTCACATCTTTCAACTTATATGATGCTTTTTATTTACCTTGATCAACTCGGCCACTTCACCATGTTAGCCTTCCTAGAATTAGTGTTGGGGTCTGGATTAATTTGAATATTATGGTATGGAGCATTATCCCTCATGAATATGGAATTCACAGGTAAATTTGGTATCAACTTTTCTTGTAACCATTTATCATAATTTTAAGAATTCATTTCTGAATGATAATCCCCCGATATTGTGCCTGATTTAAATATAAAGGGACAATTAAATTCAAAGCTCATGTCACCTCCTGCATGGACAATAATGAGTCTTGGTCCTTTCCCAATACAGGGTGTAACTGAATAAGTGTAAAACATTTAAGGAGGTGATTCCTCATCGAAAAAAAGATAGGATCTTTCATATAAAGAAACTTCATTGGAGCATCCCTTGTTAAGATACAGCCCCTTAAAGGGGGTACATAAAATTTGTATAACAATTTTTTTCACAAGCACTGAAAAAGTTACAATATTGAAATTAACCTAAGTTTTGTACTACCAGTAATTTATTTGGTTTACCCCATGGTTGTAAGAGATGGAAAACGCAACCCCTAAAATTTATTTTCAATGTAACTTTTTGTCTTATTATTTGTTTACCATTTAAAAATATATTTCCGATAGCCTGTTTCATTCTAAACAAAAAATGTCTCTTGGGTTTTTTGCCCAAAATAAATCAGTTTGCAGCAAAAAATTATTTTACGAACAACTACAGAGATACATCATTTATAAACTCTTCAATGGAGTAGTAGGCTTTATCAATCTGAAAGTTTTTTAGGAACGGTTTAAATTTTCTTAGTGACATTTTTCTAACATGAACAGCAATGATACGCCTCTGTACAGAGCATCACTATGTCTTGCAAGAGCTGTAGTGGGGTTTACATTGAAAATAAGTTTGTGCGCATGGCGGCGGGCTTGCCATCACGTTTGGCGCCTGTTGAATTACACTTTAGATTAGACTCATAAAAATCGACAAAACTTTTGAAATGACCAATAAAAAAAGTACCATGTTCCTTCAGCGCCTTTGTAATGAAATTTTCTAGAGATATTCTGTGAATGATTAGGAACTAACTCATAATAGTGTGAGGGAACACCCTAATGTATGTAAGTATGTGAAAATTTGGGAATGGGTTTCAAAAGAAAATACATTATTATCTGCAGTATATTTCATTAGTACAAATGTGTGTAAAAAATGGCAAAAAAACTTTCACTAAATCTACATTTAGATGTAAATTTGGTAAAAAAAGGAGTAAATATAGTTGAAAATATAACAGAGATTATAAATTACTTTTCTCACAAGAAAAGAGTACAGTGTATAAGAATCAGTCATAAATATATCCAGTTTTAAAAATTCGCTATAATTAAGCCAATATTTAACACAGCAAAAATTCGATTTCTACTGAAGTAGAAATCATTAAAGCCACTCATACATTTTTTTTTACTAAAGAGAAAATGACAAAATTCATGTGTTTATTTACCTTTATTCAATTTCCAGTACACCCTGAAGAACCTCATCTTAAACTTTACCATCCGAATAAACATCTCAAAAAACACATTTGGTAAAAAACAAACAGCTCAATAGGTACAAAACACTTATAATTTACATATCTATAAAAAAACTGGAGTATGTTACAATAAATATATTATGATTTAAATAACAAATGGGGAAACAAGTCAATAAGATATGTTACATAATATTAATACAAAGAATAGGTAAGATATGCAGATAAGGCACATGCAGTGACAACTATATTAGTCACTGATAAACGTCTTTCTTTTCTCATAAATTATTCCCGGATCTTGCAGAAGTAGGCCTATAATTTCAAGGTTTTCAGTAGATACTACCGAATGACGTTTTCATAATGTTCAATCAAAAGAAAATAACACCACATCCTTTACATTTTTGAATGTCAATGAATATTATCTATTTTCTATTCAGAAAGTGTATTTCAATTTCAAACCACACTAAAATTGATTTGAGTTAGGTTAGGTCAACCCTTCTCTCTGTCTGTCAACCCTTAGTATCTCTTTGATTATTTGAATCCAGTCAAATATTAGTTTTTAAATTTGAAGCAATCTTAGGAGATTAGTTGAAATTACTCAAAATTAGTTCATGCCATAAAAATATGCAATTCATCTGTTTAGAAAAATTGACTATATTCGAAAGAAAGAAAAAGTGAAAAATAGTTTTTGATTTATTCTCAAGTCAGGTGACACTTGTTCGTAAATATCATCTCTCTCAAAGGTTACATGTTATTTGATTGATATTATTTTATAGTGATTTCCATTCAATTTGAATTTTCTTGGTGAGAAGTGATTTTTTACAGAGGTTAATTTCTTCATAACAAACATTATCTAATGCTTTGTTGAATTCTGAAATATAGTTTTCCCTAACAATACCAACTCAAATACTAATAATACCAATTAAAATAAAATAACAAATAACTGTTATTTGAAACATATTACTTTGTTTCTAATCTCAAAATTTCAATTGTAACCTTTGAAAACTGCGAGTTTGTATATTACAAGAAGGTAGATCACTTTGACCGTTGTGAAATAGTCTTTGATAATGTCTGCATACTACGGTTGTTTTTCTTTCTGTTCAAGTATTTTTTTTTAACACTCAACATTCCTAGCTGAATTCCTTTTTGGGATATTTTCCTAATATTTGTTCAACAGCACTACACATTTTACTTGCTGAATGGAAAACTATACTCAGACAAAAAAGAAAAGGACATAGTAAATTTTTACACCAAATAATTTTTTTTGACACATGTAGAATATCCTAAACTAAAGAGTTTTTATCATCCCTTTAAAGGACGCTAATAACGTTTGGTAATAAACATCCAGTACAGAGAATGAGCTATCACAAAATCCAAACAATTCAGAACTGTCAACTGTTCTTCACAGTCTTGCTAAGAGTATTTTTCAAAGGATAATGATTTCCCAAAACTAAATGAAAATGAAACAATTCAATTTCATAGACCATTTGTCTGCTTCAACAAGAACAAGCAAATCAAGCAATAACGTGAAACTCAAACTGACCAACAGCAGAAATAGTATTACCTGATATTATTACTACGAGGTCCAGGTATCCTAGAAGCAGGTCTTGGGATACCTGTAGGTCGAGGTAATCCACTAGTTCTGGGTGGATGAGGTTTGATGAAAGTGCTGTCCCCAACAATGTTGACCTTCTCCCTTGGCATTGGGAGAACCTGCCAAATTGAAAAAGAAATAATTCAGTTAATCCTTGAAGAATTAGAAGGTGAATAAGACAACACATATTGCATCACTGATAACGGATAGATAACGATAGACTTGACTTCAATTCTATTAAAATTCTTTATGTGTTCTAGATATTTCCAAACATTCCACATTTTTGTAGTAATTTAAAAAAAATAAGGAGTATACTAATGGGACAAAATTCTGAGCCAGTTATATTTCTTTAAACTTCTTGGTGGGTAAAATGATGAGCAACTTGCAGGTTGACAGTGAAGAAAATAATCATATCTAAGAAAGAGAAAATCATCATATTTGGAAGCATCCAAGTTATGTGGCACAATATGTCACATGAACTTGCTCAGGAAGTTGATAGTGACTCGGATAACATACACACATAATATCAAATGGAAAAAAATCGTTTGTTTGAAGGTGTGTTTTTCACAGATTCTTTCAAGGATTTCGAATCAATTTATATCATATTAGAAAATGGAAGTCCGACCTGATGAAATGCAAATGAAAAAAAATTGGATTTTAAACTTATAGATGAAAAAAAGTTTATAAAAAAAATGGGGGAAAAGTGCAATGAGCCAATGAGGCTACTGTGTTTTCCGCAGACTTGGACATAATGGACAAGTCAGACAACTCCCAGGCAGTGGAAAAAAATGCATAGTGTGCATTAGTGAATATTAATGAATAGTTAGAACTGACATATTTAGAGAGAAGCAATATCTATCTCCATGAATATTTAGCCGACTCATCTCTCATTTCTGAATTTACCTTGCTCAAACAAATCAACTACCAAGAGTTATTTAAAAAATGGGGATACTCTTAAAATATCAGTTTCCCAACATTTTCAGGGCTAAGACTATGCAAAGTTGATAAAAATTAAAAATAATTATGTATTTGGCAACACAACTGGTGAATCACTAGCAGCAGTATATTTACCTATTATTGCCCTAATTATTGCCTGGGATATTATAAAGATGACAAAAAACTTATTCAACTTAAATCCACATCATCAATATAATTAACGTGAAATGATTTTTAATTAATGCCCCAGAATAGATATTCTTATTAACTGTTTTCATAATTATTATTCATAAGAAACTAAATGAGATTATGTGATGATGACAACTTGTAATCATGATTGGCTAAATTGGGGTTCTCCATTTCACAACTTATTCTTTTAAAAATGCATTTATAATAGGAGAGTCCAAGCGGGGATTTCGGGATTTACTAAAGCGTGGCAGATTAATATACAGGGGATACCTTGTACCCGGTCAAGTACCTCCACCAAATATGAGCCCCATATACAGGGTGTAACTAAATGAGTGTAAAACATTTAAGGAGGTGATTCCTCACAAAAAAAATGGATCTTTCATATAAAGAAATTTAATTGGAGCATCCCTTGTTAAGATACAGCCCCTTAAAGGGGGTACGTAAAATTTGTATAACATTTTTTTTCACAAGCACTAAAAAAGTTACAATATTGAAATTAACCTGACGTTTTGTACTACCAAAAAGACACTTAACCAGAAATGTATTTGGTTTACCCCATGGTTGTAAGGGGTGGAAAACGCAACCCCTAAAATTTATTTCCGATGTAACTTTTTGTCCTATTATTTGTTTACCATTTAAAAATTTATTTCCGATAGCCTGTTTCATTCTAAACAAAAAATGTCTCTTGGGTTTTTTGCCCAAAATAAACCAGTTCGCAGCAAAAAATTATTTTACCAACAACTACAGAGACACATCGTCATAAATGCGAAAATACGAAACTAATCTATCTATTAGGTCGGTATTAGCGATATTGCCAATTAAATTGGTATGACGCTGTCACTTTGTGAATTTTCGAAATTGAATTAATACTATTTGTGTGTTGTTGTTCTGTTCTTAATTTGTTACTTCAATAATTCACTTGTTATTAAAATGGCATACACAAATGCATTACGTTTACGGTCTGTCGCAGGGGAATGGGTTAGAAGCTTCTAGAAGATATGCTGAAATGTATCCTCAACGGCAGCATCCTTCACATAGAATATTTGCTCGACTTCATCAACGATTACGAGAATATGGTTCGATCGACAAAAGAACGCAGGATTGTGGTCGCCATCGAGAAGTACGAACACCACAGCTTGAGGAAGCAGTACTTAATTTGATTGAAGAACAACCTACTACCAGTACTAGAAAGATTGCTTTCCAGCTAAATGTTGATCATATGACGGTATTTCGAATTTTAAAGGAACAACTCTTATACCCTTACCATCTGCAACGAGTACAGGCACCGTTACCGCGAGACTTTCCGAACTGTCTTAAATTTATATGATGGAATCGGCCGATACTTGATGAAAAACCATAACTAACGTATTCCAAAAACACTTTATTGTGAGATTTTCACTAAATTGTTTTACAAAAACGCAACACGTGTTTCGCCATACAATGGCTTCATCTGGCATGTCTTTCAACTAATTCTACACATTCAATACTAAATATATATATAGTTTATAGAGAACTTGAAATCAAAGTACCTGTAAACGAAGTACCTGAATTTTAAGTAGCTGATATTTTACCTGAGTTTCTAACGAATTAAATTACCTGCACTTATGTTCCATTTTCACATTTGAAAAAATATATTCAGTAACGGAGAGTTATTGAGTTCTAATTGATCATTCAGTAAATTACCCGAATTCCTGAATCTATTGATTTCTAAACATTCTAGAAGATTTAAGTTTCAAACTCTTCTCTTCTAAATGTAACACCTAGTACTCATGATTGAACTCATGTCCTTCTGCTAAAAGATGGTTTGCAAATGTGGAATTGGTCTTTCTATTTACAAAACTACTCCTATGTTCTTTAATTCGTTGGAAAAATGTTCTTCCTGTTTGGCCAATATACAGTTTTGGACAAGAGCCACAAGTTTTGAATTTTGCAATTGGATGCTGGAAATGATTAGAAGAAATTGTGACTTTTTGAAGATGATAGAATTCACAGACGAATGTAGTTTTTCTCGGGACAAGATTATAAATTTTCATAATTACCACATATGGGCTGATGTCAGGTTAATTTCAATATTGTAACTTTTTCAATGCTTGTAAAAAAAATTGTTATACAAATTTTATGTACCCCCTTTAAGGGGCTGTATCTTAACAAGGGATGCTCCAATGGAGTTTCTTTATATGAAAGATCCTACCTTTTTTTCGATGAGGAATCACCTCCACAAATGTTTTACACTTATTCAGTTACACCCTTTATAAGGCCGCCTGTGACGGATAAAGGATCAGATTAATAAAAAAAAATTGATCATCAGAAATTCTCGAGCGCGTCAGATTAGGGTAGAGTGAGTTAATTACCTGCTAAAAAGTGTATATTCCAGTAATCTGACAATTTGAGAGTGACGTGAAGAAAGGGGAAGGCAGCAAAGTTGTAAAAAAATAACGTCATTTTGACATTCTCGAGCGTAGTTAATTTTTTTTTATTTTGAAGGAAATAATTCAAGGACAACAACATATATATAATCTGACGATTTCCGCAAGCCGAAATAACAAAAATTCGTCGATGAAGTTTAATGCGTGCAGCTGTGTGATACCTATATTTCCCTCTCCGAGTTTCTATTCCTCTATTCTCTATTCACTTTTTCTCTATCTATTACTCTCTCACTCTGTCCCCACTCTGAATTATGTTGCCATGACGCCATCACAGCTGATCACAGAGACACGTTCGTGATGAAGATGATGATCAATTAATTGATGGATGTAGCCGTTACTACGTGGTAGGAAATCATAATGAAGAAAAGAGAAATTAAACTTTCTATGTTTTTTACCACTTATATATTGTATAAGTTTGAAAATGTCCTTATAGGACGAAACTGCAGTAAGGTTAGTTACAAATAAAAGTGGTAAAAAACATAGAAAGTTTCATATCTCTTTTCTTCATAAATTAATCAATTGATTATAAAGAATTAAAATTTTTTTGAGCATTTTTTAAAAGTTATTTTCTTATAAATACAAGTATTCTACTTAAAAAACATACACTTATTTATTTGCATGCTATTTCCTGAGCTTTTCAATTAATTATGTTCAATGAATTAATTTTTTTTTAATATTGTTTTTATCAGATTAAGCGAATCTCTCTAGATAATCGTCAGATTATGAGACAGCACGTCTAAAACATAAAAATGAACCATATATATCTTAATCTGACGCTCTTGAGTATTTCAAAATGGCGATTTTTTTTTGCACATTATAATAATGGCCGCGAGTTTGCGTCAGATCGAAATCGTCAGATTATTGAATGAGAGCTTTTTTTTTGTTGAACTTATTACCCCTTAGAAAATCTGACGCGCTCGATTAATTTTTTTTCCTTTCACTTTTAACCCTTACATACAACCACCCACATCATGCAAACGATCAGATTAACATACCAATATTATCAAAAATACGTAGGACATTGATGCTATCAATATCTGACGCGTTTGAGTATGTCCATGCAACAGTATTTTTTTTACATATTTAAAAATCTATAGCCGCTTCCCCCACCGATGAAAAGGTATATATTATACAATATTTTTTTCTTCTTATCATCTAAGCTTCGCAAGCTAATATGTCTCAATGACGCTCGAGTAAATCCCCATTTTGCATCGTGGGCTCCCCTGCTATTAGAGACGGTTTTAAAATTACTTTAATATTTTTTACTTGGATGTCAGACATTAGAATGCTCAATTAATAAATAGCTCATTAAGTATGGTCAAAACAACAGCAAATAGTTTTAGGTATCTGAACATGGTTAACATTATAAATTTATTGCATTTTTTAGACTTTTGATGGATTGTACAAAAAATGTCATAATCCAATCCAAAATTTTTAAAACAGAAGCACTACTTACCTCCACAACTTTGGGTCGAGTTTCGAGAACCTGGGTGACATTGGGATTGGAAGCTTTAGGAAGAACCATTGTGGAGTTCAAATTTTGATTTATAGGTGGAGGTGCCACCGGCAAATTGGCACTCATAGGCCTCAAACTGGTATATGAACCCTTCAATTTTGGTCCCATCGTTTTCAAGTTTGATGATGGCATCCTAATGCTGCTAGGTCTTTGCAGATTAGACTGGGATCCATGAATATTTGTTTGCATGTACTTCAGATTGGAATATGAGTTCCTTACAACACTAGGCATGGTTTGCAAAGGTTTTTGGTCGGCAATGGTGTATGAAGTTCTACGGCTCAGTTTACCTTTAGGAACAACGGGCGCTACAAGATTACCTAGGCTCTTCGTATTCTTTGATGATTGGTTGTCAAGGGATGTTTTTGATACGGACGATCTAACACTCTTGTAGTCATCGTTGGAAGAAAACTCTGAATCAGATATTTGTTCAGTGGTGATGATTGGAGATATAAAATTGTTTTCCCAAATCTTTTTTTTTGTAGCGTTTGGTTTGGGCGTTGACATTACCTGATGTAAGCCTGATGGAGAAAAATAGTGAAAATCAGTAACAAGTTATAAAATTTGTTTAAAATCAATAGAAATTATATAAATTATAAGGAAGGGTGTTGTCACAAAAGCCAAATCTCAAAAAAAAAGTCTAGACAACAAACTGCTACTAAACATATTCCCACATATCAGAGTTGGGTCGGATACAGGAAAAAAGGATCCGAATACCGGATACGGATACTTTCACTGTATTCGAACACTTGTTAAAAAAATAAGGATAATTTTACCTAAAAATGTACTCGGATACAAGTATTCGGATACTTTTAGAGTTAGTTAAAATAGTATTTCAATGTATACAAGTAAAAATACTAGGGATGAATATCAAAAACAAAAAGTGATAAAAAAAGATAGGAAATAAAAGAAACTCAAAAAACTGTTTATTATATTTATTTTGTAAACAAAGAACATTTCAGTGAAAAAAAATTTTTAGCTTTTACCACATTGTTCACTAGATGTGACATTTATATCTATAATAGTACCTTTGAGTTTGAATTTGCCTTCGTCAGTACCAATAGCTCAAAGTGTTCATCACTTAAATTTTTTCTCTTTGGCGTATCAATCATTGTTGCAAAAGAGAAAAGTCTTTCTACTGGTGCTGAAGAAGGTAAGCATGTATTATACTTGAGTGACACATTTTTTAATATTGGGTATTCATGTAATACTTGTAAATTCGTTCTTTTGTCTTAATAATTCCAGCTGAATTATTCCAGAGTTATTAAAAAATGGATACAAAAAATTTTCACAAATGAAATGAATTTTATCAGGGTTCTTCATAAGGAATGGATAATTGATATGGGACTTATGAAATGGCCACGCACATACGACATAGATTCTGAGATATCTTGACGATATATCTTGATATCTTTTAGTGAGGTAAGGCGGTAAAAGATATATGAGGCACTCTAATAACTCATTTTTCGAAGTGGCAAAGTGTTAAAATTGTATTTCACCGTTTTCGAATATGCCCGACAAAATGCGACAAGATACGCCTGCATAAAATAGGGCTGTTTGGTCTAGTTCTCATTCATCGAATAATTTAAAAGTATCCGAAGATCGAAAAAAGTATTCGGAATTCGGATAATTACAAATTTGGCCACGGATACGGATACTGAATACAAAATTTGAAAAATACAGAAGTATTCGAATACTACCCAACTCTGCCACATATACCCACTTGATCAAAATATAACTTCCAGCACAACTACGACCATATAAGGAGAGAAACAAAAGGCAACAATCACATTATGATTAATCACAACATTCTGTATGCGAACCAAAAACATTAGTATTGGCTAATTCCATTATATGTGGAGCCTTGTATTGTCATAAGACGGCATACTCTGTGCCTGCCCTGCTATGGATAGAAGGAGATTTCCACCGTTTGGCAGAATTTCACTCATGGGCATATGAGTTTTAATAAGTGTGAGAGTCTAACAGACCCATTCACTGTAGACGTAGGAAGTAGTCGCAGACTGACCGCCGATCAGGTACTGACTAAATTGAGGAAAATGAACAATAGTCTGTGTTAAGAGTCTCACTTTTGCCAGCTGACCTGAAAGATCACTCCTCAAATGAAGTAATCAGCTCGTCAAGCAGCTAAATTTATTTGGTTGAGTTTCAATAGATGCGAGTCACAATAAACACTCGCGGGGTGGAGGGTCGAGTAAACCCACTCACTTTAGTCCTACCTATCTAGTTCTAAAAAAAATAAACAGAATATTAACAGATTGAAAAAACTTGTGATATGGTATTTTCAATAATTATAATTTATTTTATTCATTTATATAATCTACCAATGCTTTGATTCTTCTCAAGAAGATCTTCTACAATTTTCAAATTCATAATATAATACTGGTGGCACTTTCGTATTATAGGAATGTAGGCTTTTACGGCTGGCATCAATGTTTTCTGGGTTTTGACGTGGTCTTCTTTGGTTTTAATCTCCAAACGTTTCGACTGCAACTGCGGCAGTCATCTTCAGTGGCGTGGTCGAAGTATCCTTCTTGACGTGTCAACTGAAGTTTCAGACACGACAAGAAGAGTTCTTCGACCTCGCCACTGAAGATGACTGCCGCAATTGCAGTCGAAACGTTTGAAGATTATAACCATAGAAGACCAAGGCAAAACCCGGAAACCAACCGAAACACTTTCGTATTGGTTGGTATTATTATCCCTCTTATATACGACTTTTTAATAGCCTACCAGAGAACATTAAAACCTTGAACAACATCAACAAATTTAAAACAAATGTTAAATCCTTCCTCATTGAAGTAGAACCATATAATGTAGAAGACTTTCTAAATTATTTTTATTAGATATTAGATTTAAGAATTATGAAAATTGACACTGTTTCATTTTTTTGTTTTTCGCCGATTTGTGTAAAACACTCTTCGAAATAAAGATTATTATCATTATTTATAATAGTATTCATTTAATACAAGACATCAATACTCACTGCGTTCTTGCATTTCAACAATAGCATCTACTTCAGCCATATTGAGCATTTTATTGGATCCTCTGCTGCTACTAGACATGCTACTACTCATCCTATCTAAACTGTCTGCTGATCCAATAGAACAACCAAGAGGAGACTGCTTGAGGTTTCCGGATTTGTTCGAAGAATTCATGTCCTTGTTGAAAGTTGAATTCAAGTTGTCATTTTCATTGCAATAACTCAACCTATTCAAATCGGTTTTTATTTTTACATCATCAGACAGTTGTTTTTTCATGTCCTCTATGGTATCATTCTTAATCAGAGTGTTCGAAAATGACTCGCTTGTTTTAAAGCTGTTAACACTTGACTCTTCAATAAGAGTTTGCGTAGAGTTCAGAGTGGAATTATCTATTTGTGGAATATCTATTGTAGAGTTGAGAACTATCGTTTTGTTTCGATCAGACCTTCTAAAAGTGTTACTTTTCTTGGGAGTACGGCGATATGTTCCGTTCAAAGTGTAGCTAGGTTCATTGCTTGGTTCTTTCAAACTGTTTCCTGTACTATCGGTCATATCAATTTGTTCAACATCTGAAACTAGATTCATGAAAATGAAATAATAATATAAAATATGTTTGTCTGAATGCGGTTGACAATGTTTCTTGGTGAACTTTACAGTTTTGGACTCATATTGTCTAAATTTGTGTCGACAGATTTGAAATCTAAATAAACAGAAATTGAATAAAATTAAAATGAATGAAATTTTAGCGTTATTAAACTACAAAGAAACTGGACCGAAATATTAGAAAGATTTAGATAAAAAAATGTGAAAAAATAAAAAAGAAAATGACAAAATGTAAGTATAACAGATTATTGTGACCTGAAATGAAAATGAAATAATAAATGGTCTCAATCGTCTCCTGAAGATGCTAATTTGGTTAGCGAAATGAATGTCTATAGACAGCATTTTTGTTCTGGTGTCAATACAGCTTAAAACTTATGGATGATTCTTGACACTGATCTTATATTCACTAGTCATGTTAAAAATTTAATAAAAAAAAACCTAAAATGTGATTGAAACTGTTATATACTGTAATCGTTTTATTTTGAGGCAACCTCTGAAAAGAATGCTCTGTGATAGTTTGGTGCTAAGCCATTTCAATTACTGTGACTTCATATTAGGGCCATACTTATATGATTCAGATAAAAAAAGAAAACAAAAAGTGAAAATTCTTGTTGCCGCCTAATTTATGGACTTCATAAGTATGATTCAATTTCTAAAGCCTTTAAAAACTTTCGCTGGCTGAGTATGAAAAAACGTATGATTCATCATTTGGGTTGTTTTGTTCATAAATTGATTGTCCTTTCCCATTCTCCTCTTTTAATACAAAAACTAATTCTGCGTGAAAATATTCACTCAAGAAACATTAGACATAAAAACAAATTAACTATGCCACAACATCGCACTGCACAGTTTCAGAGATGATTTCTTTTTGGTGCTGTAAAACTCTATAATTCATTGTCTGAGCAATTGAAGAGATTCAATATCAGGAAATTCAAATACAAATATTATAACTATGATAGTCAGTAATGTCAACTTTTGCTCATTGGACAATGTAATAAACAACAGATCAATTAAATTTAATAATTTATCAACTCTCTTCAAAGGGTAATCACAAATTATTATTTTTATTTGTTTCTTATTTCGTGGTACCATCACTGTTAATTGTCTTTTATTTCTGTATGTTCACGTGCATTATGGTTGAGTTAGATTAGCTTTGAGCTAGACTTCGCCAATGAGTACCAGAATCTCCTGTATGTTATTTTCATTTTCAAATGTATCTTTGTATTATCAATAAAGCCGATTTATTATTATTATTAATAAAAAATGTTCTCACTACCATTCAGTAAAATAATCATAAATGGTAAAAGTAACAGTGCTAATAAAAAAAGTTCAAGTTCCAGTGAAACTGTTGCTCGTACATGACTTCCTAATAGATTAGTAAACAATAAGTAAAATATGAGTAATCACTGAGAATATTACAATTGAATAATAAAAACTTTTGATAAAAGTTATGACATTTCCATTGAATATTGAAATGCAGAATGTCTCTGAAGAGGTAAAAGTGAAATAAAACTTGAGAAAGTGCTTTTAAAATTATAATATCACTTATTTCTCATCTTTGTCAATTTGAGAGCCAATGTTAAGTTTTTTCTTGCAAACAACAATATTATTAATGTATAGGATCATAGCTGAATAAAAAAGTTACTCGACATCAAATAAACCTGATTTGCTACACAGCTGTTCATTTGAAAATGTTACAGGTTTGCCCAATATGATTCTCAATATCCATCTGTGAAAAGTGTTCAAGTTTTCCAAGTACTTGTGACTAACAATTATTTGCAAACAATAAAAATTTAAATACGGAAAAATTATTTCAAAAATGCAATAAAAATAAAAAAAGAAAAAACAAAACCCAGCTACTTCACAATATTTCGATTTTTAGTATTCACAATCATCTTCAGGTGATAACTGTTAACCAGCAAATCAAGCAAAAGTACATCTTTTCAATTTTCCATTTTTTTCTCATTTTATTTATTTCTGTTTTAACCATGTCATATGAATATTTCGGTTGATTTATTTTTAGTATTTCAACATTAATACTTCATTAATTTTAATTGTATGTTTTCATTGTTAGATTTCAAAACTGTTAACACCTTTTCAGGCATTGGAAGTTCAAATCTGAAACATAAATTAATATAAATGAGAAACAATACGTCTCAGAATTGTCCCTTGTGGAATATCTTGTTATATTTCTTAATGAACCTGCTTTGTCTCCAATACATACAAACCTTTTTTCTGTATATGTTCAATAAATTAATGAATCAATTATTATTAACTCACTTGAATAATTCTGAATTTCCAGCGGAAAATTTACTTAAATTTTGTGGTACTGAAATCATAGAGCTTAAAATTTATTCCAACATTTGAGAGTTCTATGAAAAAGCAGGAACTTTTTTTTTCAATTCATTAAGTAAATTTGTAGAGGGTATTTAAATCATTCAACTTAGTTCCAAATTGTTTTGAACTGAAATCAAAACTCACCTAGTTCACTGGAATTCTCATATGTTGTGTCCTGAGAAATATCACTCTCCGTCATTTTTAGAGAAACTGTTTTATCCAAATCTTTTGTTGCATTTTTTCTGAACGTCCCATTGAATGACATTTTCTTTAAAAAATTTTCAGGGGTGTCGGAACTAATACTACTACAACTTTCTGTAATAGACTGGAACATTGGAGGTTCGCAATCTTGTAATAAGACAGACTCTGTGAAGTCAGTATCACGGATTTCCCTCAAGACAGGATCATTTTTAATGAAACTACTCTCCATTAGATTGGCAAACGTTGACGAACACATAGAGTTGACTAAACTAGGTGGCGACATATTTTGGAAAGAGTCAGCTTCTCCAGTTTCTGAAGAAATCTTGTCAAAGTAATAGCTGCTAGAAGGTTGCGACAAGTCAAATTCCACTGGGGTGACTTCCATTCTCTCTTGTATGACGAAACTTTCAGAGAGCGGTCTATTCATGGATTTCCTTTTTATTAAAGATCCAACACTGATTTCGCTACCACTTCCATACATTTCTTCATTGTACTGTTCTATACTGGGACGAGTAAACCTTTTTTTAGGACGAGTAAATGTTCTAGAATCAACAAGTTTTTGGGAAACTGCTTGGGAGGTTTTCGGAGCTATATCTAGAAGAAAATCATCATTGATTTCTGATCCTTTGAGCCATTCACCCAAATTGGAAATGTTTTCTTCTTGACTATTTGGCACAGAACACAACCTGAAAGTGAGATAGTAGTGTAGGACACCATTATTAAAAATAATAATTGTCATTACAAATTGAATCAGTTGTTTGAGAAACCCCACTTATCTGCAAACTAAAACTTATGAATGAACCAAAAAATGTTTTTGAAACCCTGTCAAATTATAATAACGAGAGCAGTCTAAGATATTCACAATGCTTTTTTGAATCAGGAGTTACATAGTATGTGTAATTGATGACTTGTTCATTTTGTGGAAATTCATGATCACTTCATTGAAATGAATAAAAACACTTTTGTCTAATTTCCACTAGTTACTTTATTTATATCACATGTTAGTTTTATACTTGATAATGGGGTAAAACCCGAAACCAGTCATAAAAATAAAATAACTAGAGGAAATTCGACAAAAGTGTTTTTATTCCTTTCATTAAAGTGAGTTACATAGATTTGCATTATATCATACCAAAAAATGAAAACGAATATCGTTTTTTTGACATGAGGGATTTCTCAAACGACTGAATCAATTATCGTAATCTAATGGCTATTCCTCACATACATTATTTATGCCTAGTACTGACTTGACTTATATTGAATTGTTAGGTTAGGTTGAATTTGTATCTATTATATATTTCTACAAAAAAGGGTTTAATTTTCTGTCTGAATAAATAAATAAAACTTAATCACCAAAAATGGCAAAAAGCTGATGATGTTACAAATGGCTTGAAATTTTTAAGAATGGTTCATTCGGAAAAAATTTCAGGAAATTCCATGAAAAAAATCCCACAGCCTTCAAACCCGAATAAAAATAGTGACACTGGAAATGGTTCATTTACTGGGGCAGTGCATCAAAATGTCATCTGGAAAAAGTGTTTATCATGCAGAAATTCGCTGTAAGAGGTATAACTTCTGCCAGATGGGATGAAACTTGCCGTCCGATATTTAAAAATCTCAAAATAATGACACTGTATTCTGTCATTGTTTATGAAAACCTACTACATATTCGACTAAATATAAATAATTATACCTATCGTACAGACATACACCATCATGATACTAGAAATAAATCAGACCTCGTCATGCAAGCAAATAGACTGAAAAGGACTGACAATATTGGCCTTAAGCTATACAATACTCTGCCACTAGACTTTCGCAATTTGTCATTCAATAGATTTAAGTACTTTCTGAAGTTTTTCTCAACTGAAAATCCTCTCTATGATATCAATGAATTTTATGGAAGTGTTCAATTGAATAGAGATGCCTTCAATGTGGACACCTAAATAATAGGTGTGTTCCCAGTTGACTAATATGTATGTGTATTGTAATTTAAATCAAATGTTTGTACTGAACTTCTTAACGATCTTGATATTCTTGATGATCTCAATATAATTTTTTCAACCTTATGATTACCATCTAATTCTCAAATTCAATCATGTAATGTAATTTGTTTCAATGAGTATGTTGATTTGTTTTAATGAGTATGTCTTCGTATTTTTCTTTCTCAATTCATGACCACCATTGATTGTGGAATCTTAAGATGTATATAGCCTGATTTTAATTGCGCCATTTGTTTTGACATGTCTATAAACATTGTGTTTCTCAAGACCAATAAAGATATTATTATTATTACTGGCCTGACTTTTCTATATCAGTGACAATTCTATCTGGCCAATAGAGGAAACTGACAGTTTCAGAGAGAAAATTTCTAATTGACAGCACGGGTATTGCGATTTAACAAGAGACTTAGGTTTGGTAAGATTTTTCTGAAAAATTTTAGTAGATGGTAGATATAGAATATGACATTTTACCTCAAAAGGCGTTCTTCAATGAAACTAATATGCAATTCAACAAATTTTATTATCCTCAGAAATCTTGAAACAGTTTGACAGATATACTCAAATAATCACTGACAAAACTGGTAAAAATAGACTTTTGTGATGAAAATATGACAGGGTCTAGTAATGTAGTCTAGTGTAGTGTAATGGCATGACTTTCAAATTTTTTATTGGTTGTTTTGTAATTTTTTATTTTCCGATTTGTTTCTCATTTGGTTATATCACTATTATTTTGGTCTTCTACTGAAATATTTAAATTTTTCATTAGAAGTAGAAATTAGGAGAGATTGAGCATTGAAAATAAATTTAAAAAACTGTCAAGACAAAGAGTTTTTAAATTGATTTAAAAAAGTCAAATTCAGATGAACCAAAGGTTTGACACAACTAAAAGTTATAGTATCAAAGAAATCATCAAAATACTTCTCAGTGTCATGTTATTTCTAGATTGACAACTATCATTTTGTGCTTATTGAATTCGAAATTATAGCTTTCGAGAAGCTACTCTGAACACTTTTTCTGATATTCAGCTTCAGTGCCTTTTCTACATCTTATTTGTATCACTCCTCTTACTTGTTAATGAAAAAACCTTCATGATAGGTAGAATTGGAACCTCGAGTGCTAAAGCTCAGCAAAGCTAAGTGAGTTTATTTAGCTATTACAATTGAATAAACTCACTATTATTATTTTTCCACACACCAGAATAATATCTGGACGTACCTATCGCCAACCAAGTTAGCATCATCAAATGAGGAAGTCTTAGCCAAAAAATTGCTTCTGGCGTAGGAAAAGTGTTTTCATTAGAACAAATTTCAATTCATTATTTTATGCTACTTACCAAGATTCATCATTTCCAAAGTTAATTTGGTCAGCTTCTATGATATCAACATCATGTTCAGCAAGGAAAAAGGAGGTATTGGGAGAAACTGATCTGCTAGAACTCTTCAAAAACTGTAGATGGTTCGCAGAATTTTCATTGACATCTTGTTCAACAAGAAAACAAGAGGTATTTGGAGAAGACGACTTGTTACAACTCTTCAAAAACTGTAGATGGTTTGGCGAATTTTGATTACTAGTTGACAAATCCATTTTGCCAAAAATGTTTCCAAAACAATCCTCTATCAACACCTTTGTTTGATATTATTATATTTAAATCATTCACATACCATTTACGAAAATAGTAGTTGAACTTACAACTAGTTTTTGAAGTGTGAAAAAATGATAACAAATTAAGAACGTTAAAGAATTGAATCACTGGAATATTTTACCAGTACTTCATGTCCATTGCACTTTCTACTATTTCCAAGTGTTCAATGTCTCCAACTGTATAAATTTTATGAAAATAACTGGACATTTATCGTTATTGCAGTGACTAGTCGCACGTCCGACCATTGCAAGATAATGTGACAAAAACGCTAAATTTATAATTTATGTCTATCGACAACTTCAACACGCAGCATATTACATAGTTGGTCTAGATTCACAAAAATCAATGATGAGCTCGGTAGCAAAGTACAGCCTTTTACAATAATGCCCTACTCAAAATTAAAATTTTCTGATTGAATCGGCAGTTACTTGATGAAGATCAACAGTAATTTCATAAACTACACCTCACGATTTGATCTCCACAAACTTTATTTGAAAAATATATCATGACATGTTTCGCTAACACAGCAGTTCTATCAACAGTGATTTGAATACGAGTATACTAGAATACGAGTATTGTGACTCTTCAAGCCACATAAGAATTTTTAATCTTGTTTTTTTTGAATCTCAGAGATATTAGCTCTTTTATAATTTTGATTTCATAAACTACACCTCACAATTTGATCTCCACAATTTTTTTTTGAAAAATATATCACAATATGTTTCGCTAACACAGTAGCTTCATCAACAGTGGTTTGAATACGATTATACGAGAATACTCGTTTTCTCGACTATTCGAAGATGAATAAGTTCTGTACGCGGTAATAGTAACTTCGTTACAATCTAAAATTAAACTTTCTCAAATACAAGCAATAACTCACCAGCTTTGGAAAGAAGAAAATGAAATATGAATTGAGTCAAACCCATCAATTTTTCACATTACACAAGCTATATGATATGAAAGTTGGTCGCGAGAATTACCTTTTCACAATGTATATGATATAAAACTTGTCGCGAAATTAGCTTGTATTGAAACGAGGATACAACTTGAAACGAATAATTATAAGTATATAGAATTTTTTTTCGTAATTAAATCAACGATAAAAATAAAAACAACAATAAAAATTAATTGGCGCAACGGGGCGACTCCATTGATTCCAGTGGCGCATTTGCTTTTTCAGCTGCAAAAAAAAACCGGAAAAACCTGCAGCACCACATCATCTGAAAATCTTGTTTGTATTTGAGAAAGTTTAATTTTAGATTGTAACGAAGTTACTATTTCGTAATTTCATATAAAATGTATAATGTAATAAAATGATAGGTATGATTGCATTCAACTTTCTTTCTTTTAGAGAAACTTTTACTTTAAAATGTTTGAACTATTAATTTATTCCATATTCAAAAGTAGGAAACAAAAATATACAACAATGATTGTGAACATTTTTTTTTATTCAATTTTGCTTATGTTTATTGTATTTTGTTTACATTGTGTATGTTTTTTTATGTAGATTTTTGTATCTTACATATTATTTATGACTTTGTCTACAAGATGTAGTTCTTCAGACAATAAAGTATATTTGATTGATTTATTGACGTAGGGTGGTGAATTAGACACTTCTGATAGAGTCACCAGTCAGCAAGTGTTTTTCCAGTGATGGCAACATTATTAACCGAAAATAAAATAAAAACATAACCTACTTTTCTTGTAGATGTGCAAAAAATGGATAGGTATGTTTTAGTTGAATATTCAAGTACTTTAAATGCCGTGATATGCGAAACGTTCAAGTCTATGCAACGAATTAAGGTCAGTGAGAGGAGGCAATGTTTTTATATATAAAATGAAAAAAAGCTTTTGATATAATTTCAGCTGATGAGTTTTGATGTCTCTCTTCACTATATAATTTTCGGGGCCAGTAGTGGAGGCATTTATATTTTCAAACGTAAACCATGCGAATTTTTAAGACTTATTCCGAGTAAGGTAGGTTCAAATTACAGTGTGATATTCTACCTGACCCATAATTTTTCAGGAGGGTCCAACTATTCAAGTGGGGATATCATTAAATGAAAAAAACTTGGCAGTAGCTAGTTCCAGAGGCCTTGTGATAATTTTCGAAAACTTTTTTGTTGACGGGAATATAAGGCCTCTTGTATATAATGAACACGAGGGAAATAATATAACTGTGATGAAGTGGCATGGAAATGATTTGTACTGCGGAGATGATGTTGGAAAAGTATCTGTTGTGGCAATTACTTCATTATTGGTGAGATAATATAGATTTTAAGCTCTTGTTCAACACGTTCCATGAATTTGTCCCTAGAAAATAGCGTAGTCTTTTGTTAGGATTTAATTATAATAGGGAGGTTACAGGAAAATATTAGAGATTACAGTTACTTTGACTGAAACTATTTCATTTCTGCTCTCAAATGTAAAAGGCCTTACTTGTTCATTTTTTGTGAGTACTCGGTGTGATATGACCCTAAAGATTCCTCATTCCACAGTAAGAACAGAACTTGATGAATGAAAACCGCAACACACATAACAATCAGAAGTACAGTTTTTTCACAGGTGTCAACTTTCAGAAACAAGACCATACAAAAGTCAAAGATGTCAATTGATTCTTTGAATAATTTTATTTTCATCAGATGCAAGTAGATCTTGATTCATTTGTCTATTTTTCTATACTGTTATATCCACACTTATTTTTGAAACATAATTTTACAATTACAATTGACTTTTTTTTGTTGCATTGGTAATAATACAAATTTGTCAATCATTCCTTGATTCAGGGACATATCAAAGACTCAATTTTGAACTGCTAGGAATATGAGATAAACAAATCACTTTATCTGTTCTTCAAGTTTGGAAGATAACAAGAAGAGTCTCCTACAAAAATAAGCATCCCTTCCGCCTTGTCTATACATAAAGATCATATACTACTGAAAAATCTTTGTCTATAAGATGTCATTTTCTTCTGACAATAAAATATATTTGATTTATCATATAAATTCAAAGTGGTTCTGTTAGCTGAACAGGGGTAACAGATATGTCAAAATGGGACCTTGGGGCACGTTCAGGTTTTGAGTGACCGTATCGCAAAAAGTTGTTGCTTGTGACAAATTTCATCTTGAGATTATTGATCATGGGACAGTAAAGTATTTCATTAGTGAATATAAAAAAAAATGAAAATTTAGTGGAAGTCCAGATATTGAAATTTTTACTTTGCTTCAAGACTACTTAAATAGTTTTGAAAGTAATTATTTGATATTGCCATCCTGTTGAACTACTTTCAAATTTGAGAAAATAATTTGGTTACATGAAATGTGTGTTAGGTAATTTCAATGTTATACTAACATTCGAATTTTGTAGTTCCTTCATGACTTAAATATATGACTATCACCAACTTTTTTTTCAGACTAAGACCATTTTCCAAACTCCGTCCACTATTCTCATGCATCTAGATTCAAGTATAACTCAGATAGATACATATAAAAGCTATTTATTAATATCAACTAAAACACGTACTTATTTATGCAATACTGAAAAAGAACAGTTCAAACAAATAGGCAAAAAACTTAGAGATGGAAACTTTGGAGCTTGTTTTTCAAATGACAAAATTATACAACCTCTTGAATCTTATCATCCTGTTGGAGGTGGTTATAAGACAATAAAAGAAGGTGAAGATTTTTCCTCGCCTTTAAGTGATACAACCAAAATTTTCTGTGCCAGACCTGGTTCAAGACTGTGGGAGGCAAACTTTGAAGGATCTGTTCTTGTAACCTATCAGTTCAGGCATTCTTTCGACCAAGAACCATCTGATATAGTGGTTATTGAAGATTCTCCTAATGCAACATTGCACATTAATAAGCCGAATCTTGAAAGACTTATTTCAAAAAAATTTAACTTTGGAAAAATATATCCGGTTTTTGAAAAGTTTATTCTAACTCATGATGCTAGTGGTCTGTATTTTTTTGAACCTGAAAAAAGTAAACTGCAGTTTTGGAGTAATACTTTCACAAATATTGTAGATATTAGAATAATTGATTCATATATTTATATATGGAGGAAGGGTCTACAAATGAATATAGTTTCTTTGCAATCACTCGAAAATTTACTTATTGCTACTTTAGTTAACAGACAGTATTACTTGTGTTCAGAACTTTGCCTATATTATAGTGATGACTTGAGTGCTTTGATGGAAAAATCCGAAAAAATCCATATCTTAGCCGTTTTGAAGACAAAGCTTGTTGAAATAGAAGCCAGAGATATGTTGAATAGACTTCAACCAATTATGGATATTTTAGAAGGTTGTTATAAAAAACAAAGTTCTGGAATTAAGTTAGAAAATGGAATCGTTATTGAAAATCAGTATTCATTTGAATCAAGTGAAAGCAACAGCAGCAGTTATTTACCAGAGACAGTTTTGACGTTCAATGGTGAGCATTTTGATGATTCACAAAAGCTAATTAAAAGCAGTAAAGACACAAATGAAAACGGAAATATAAATATTGGGGTGGACAATAATATTATGGCTCTTTATAGACAATATGTTCTGAATAAAACTCACAAAAATGTTGAATTGACAGGAACCTGCAAAATATTAACGAGTTTAAGTTTTGACAATCTGTTATCTCATTTTAAGCAATTTATTGAATTTGTCAAAGAAAAAGATGATGATGATGCCACCTTCTGGTGCCAAGAACAGATATTAAAGCAGATAGATAAAGATCATTCTATCATTGACAATATTAATACGAACTCTCTACAATATGTTATCGATTCTCTTGTGGCTAGTACCAAGAGAGAAAATTTGATTTGTCTCTGCAACTTTCCACTACCCAAAGCTCATACCAAAAAAATAGATCACTATAAATTAGCTTGTAAACTCTTTGATCATGTAGATAATAAGAATGAATACTTAAGCAACATTCCTTATTTGTATAAGTATAAATTAAAGGTCAACAGCCTTCATGAGGTCATGCTCAACCTCCCTGTGATTACACAATTCAGCGACAAGGAAGTATTTAAAGAATTCACGGGAATGTTAACCTACGATGCTTGGGATGAAATCATTAAATTGTTTGTAAAACTAAAAAAAGGTTATTGCTTAAATTGTGGGAATAACATTGATATTGATGATGCGCTAACTTGGTCGGAGTTTGGCCTTCTCATGGTCGAATCTATTGGGTCCAAAAATGCAGTTAGATTGTTGAAACATTATTCGCGGTTTATACCTGGAGGACACTTGGATGCAAGATTTTATCAGAGTTGCATCTTCACAACTACATGTAATGATCAACGACTGGCTTTAAATTTTATGGAGAAAGTTGTGAACAGTGAAAATTCGATAGAGGTAATGTACCCATTATTTTCCATTTGTATTTGTATAGGGTAAAGTACTTATATCTAAGTATTAAAATTTGATAGCATTGGTACCAATCAAACCTTCAAGGTTTCTTTGGTAGAACAAGAACAACCAATTTTTGTGATAATTCAGTTGAAAAAAAATGGGATGTCGAATGTTATTGTTAAATATTGACTTCACAAATAGTGACCACAGCATCGGTTTCTGTTTTTTATGTTTCAAGTGATAACGTGCTGTTGGTGAATGAATTATCAAAATAGAGACAGTCCCGTGACAGAATCAGTAATTTTTTTACTCCGCAAATCTTTATGATGACAAAGTTTTTTCACTGCGACATGATACAAGCATTTAAGAGGAAAGAACATGACCAGTTACCAATGTTTTTATAAACTCAATCCAATCCAAAGTAATCCAATATGTTTCCATTTTGAAATCCAATCCCAAAGGATTAGTTGAGATAAAAAATAATTTGATTGAAGAACCTGCTGAAGACATGCAACAGAAATAAATGACATAGACATCAAAAAAAAAAGTTTTACTGGTATTCTTTGAAAGACTCCTCTGATGCAATAAATGTTTTGCAAAATGTTGAAGGTTCAAAGAAAAATGAACAATATAAAAACATTGATTTGTACCGATAATAGAACACCAATGTAAATTGATTACCTATTTCAAAATAATTTGAAAGAGCAGCTGCCTGACTTTAGAAAATAGATATCTCAAACGTATATAATATAAAATGCAGAAATAATATAAAAAGAACTGAGAAAGGTCACTATAAAAAGAACATGCAGATTTGGAAAAAACTAAAAAGATTGGTAAAGCTTCACAAAAAGTGGTTTTAATCTTATTGTTAGAATATAAACAATTTTAGCCCAATCAATGGAGACTTCTACATTTCTTAAGTACACTTTATTTTCAGTTCGGAGAGATGATTGGAAGATTTATTCAGAAAAGGTATTTGGGAAATGATTTGGAAGTTTGTAATGGAAAAATCAACTTCCCAACGGAAACTTGTCCTGTTTGTGATTTACCTGTAAATACGTCTGTTCTAGGCGAGACAAAGAAATGTGATAATGGTCATAGTTACCACAGCATATGTTATACAACAAATAGTACCATTTGTAATATTTGTATAATGAACACCTGAAATTTTGAAATGAAAAGAACATCAACAAGTATTATATTTTTATACCAAAAAGTTGAAATAAATTAAAATGTTCACCACACGAGTTTTTATTATGAATAATTTAAAATCACAACAATCAGGTAACTTATAAACATAGAAACAGTTCATTCATCCTATTGTATGTCCAATGAAGGCCAAAATTCATTCCAGACCTAATACCCAGTTGATTCCTTGCACTAGGAAAAGAATCATTGGCTGCCATGCTACCAGCCACCTAATCCAATCCAGAAGTTGACCAAAAAGTACGTGAGGTTTCTCCCACGGATTCGAGAACATTTTCTTAAGATCCATTTTTTCCTTACAATACGGGCATGTTTGTTTTTTGCCGACTATACACCACCCTCTTATGCAGAATTCATGAAATCTAAAAAGAACAAAAGTCAGTAAAAATTTAGGTATAGCCGATATATTTTCTATGTAATCAGGAGATAATAAAAATGAAATATTTTTATCAAAAATTAATAGCTTGTGCTAATAATATACCAAATCAAAAATTTCATTAACGATATATCACAAGTAATGTAACAAATACAATCATATACAATATTAAATTACACCTACAACATACCATATAATCTGAGACTGAATAAAAACTGGTCTGAACCAAAAATTTCAGTTCTTTCTTAGATTTGTTGAAGTTTGTCTGTATTGATATGAGAAGGAAGCATATAAAGATTTTTCATATAAACTACTTTTATGTTGATCGAGGGTTAAAAATTCAACTTTTCTTGTGGCTTGAATTGTATCATTGTGAAGTCGTTTCTTATTTTATTTTACATATATTTTCAATGGGGCATGTTCCTCAATTTGGGTTATTACAGCAAATGCAAGTTTGAACAAAATAAAGTTGAGATTAATTCATGAGTTTTTCAAATTCACTTCGAAAAGTATTCAAATTGATGTTTCAAATGTTGGGTTTCAATTTTTAAAGAGATTTGTTTCTAATTCACATATTGGCAACAGCGCCTATATCAAGTTGAAATAATTTATATGTACTTAGATATTATGTTTATATATAAACAATTAAGGCAAAATATAAATTATAGTTCAATACCACCTCCACAAGCCACATTAACAACAGTTGTTTTGTTATTTATTTATATAGAGGAAGATAGGTTAGGTGCACAAAATGTCATATGTCACAGAATAACTCGGAACATAAGTAAACAGAACAGCACGCCTCTGAAATATGTCATCTTTGTTTGTCTCATACAGGTAACAGATTCATTGCCCTTTATTAGCTATAACCGATGTTGCCAATGGTGAAATAGAAACGAATCCCTTTGAATGTTGAATGCATTATTTCATTCCTATTTTTTAAGTATTTAAATAAGTTTTTAAAGAAAAAGGTTGAAATGATAAGTTTAAAATTTGTTGTTTTATGAAAACTACTTGATTTTCGTCAGGAGGAACATTCCCCATTGTATATGTAAACACCTGGAACTATTAATATACCACTTTACAAAAGTGGCCTGCAGGATTTATCCCACGTAAAATTAAAAATCAAACATATTACTAATTTTTGTGAAATAAAAATTCGACTGGCTATAAATAACTGATTATTCAACAGTTTGTTGAATATAATTATCAGTTGAACATCCCAAAACCCAATTGAAAATCTAATTATTACTTTACTTGCTTTGTTCTTCCTCTTTGAAGATGATCACTTGGTGTTTGAAACACGTGTCGAGGTGTTGAAAACAACGATTTGGTGTTGGGAAAAACTCCAGTAATATTCATCAAGTGTATCAAAATAGTTATCTGGGGTTGCAGGTTTTTGTGTCAGATTTTTCGTCTACAACTACGCACAAGTTTGTCAACTTCTGAGAGTTGTCATTCGTATGGGGGCGACAGCTGATTAATGGAAAAACAGATTTTAAACAGATCAGGCATACAAATCTGCCATCCATATTATTTCGTGGATTATATTAGTGGCAATGAATGAATTCTTACATATCTTTTTCAAAAGAAAAATACAAATTTTAATATTGATTATAAACTTATCATTTTATCTTTCAGTTTTCAAGTAACCATTTTCTCGTTTGGTGTCTATTGAATGGCAGAATTTATTGTAAACATGAGTCTTTTCTTCCCAGATATTTTTTTTTCCTGAATCAGCCAATTTTTGAAAAAGTAACTTTCAGACACTGGGAATTTTCATATCACTAAATCGTTAAATTAGTTTGATAATGTTTTACGACAGGTGTTCAGTTAATGTTCAGTTTTAGTAGCATCAGTTGTCTGATATCCTCTTTTAATGTGCTACTTAAACATGTTCGCGTCATATTATTAAAAACAACGCCATCTATACATAAGGTCGAGTAGCTCTGGAACAATCCTCATATATTGGCACTTTGCCAAGTCAAGAATTATTAAGGTTACAAAACTACCTCTATAAACATTTTTTTCTGTCCTATTTTTTGTAATACACTCAAGTTTAAGGCTGTAATGTTTATTATTGGAATAAAATATTATTGATGATTTCTTTCTCAATAAGTGTGCTACTTTTTCATTAACAATGGCGAATAGACCACCCAATGTCAGTTTTATTAAAGTAAAATAAAAAATTGAATGAAAAGGGTATTCATTTTCATCTTGAGGGAAACGTGTGACATTGTTAGAAAAGCTTCCTCAACTTTATCTAATTCCTTAAATTTCAGCGCTTTTGACTATGACTATAGTTATGAAATATGACTTTTTTTGAACCCAGTAACATATGATGTGATAGAAGATATAATTGATGATTAGAGTACACAAAAAGCCTCTGGATTTGATAATATTCATCTTCATGTTCAAAACCGCTTAACTCGACAGCAACAAACATTTTATGTACCATTTTATCGTTTGAACCACATATTCAATAGCTGCATTCCAAGAATATTACAATTAGCCAATATATAGTAACGTTGATCTTGAGATGTTCAACATCTTTTTGCATGATTTTGAAACTCAATTTACGAAATACTGTGCTTTAATGTTTTAGTGTATTGTTTAAGGCAGTATATGTAGTATATGTTTTATTGTCGCTCATTGTTTTTTGTCGTTTTATACCCTAAAATTAACCCCTTTTGAGCTATTCTTAGTTGCAATTTGTAATTCAGTACCTTATCTGATTTTATTTTAATTATAATTCAACATTGTAATTTATGTTTTAAATGGGCTTGCCCGTAAACGAATAACTAAATATTACAAATAAAATTATAAAGAAAGTTCTATCATAATTGTCACCTCTGCTTCTTAAACTGTTTATATTTCGTTTGACTCTGGTTAAATTCCTTAAAAATTGACAATTGGTAAAAGTTTTGCTGATTCAAAAAAAGAAAAGTATTAGAATAAATTATGTTTTACCAAAATTCTTGAAGGAGCAATGTAACGGGTTTTTAACAAATTTATTATTTGCATGTGTTGTTGAATGCTATATCAGACCATGGTGATTTGGCAAAACATAATGAATAAATGACAACTGCTTTTATAGATGTAGCTTCAATAAGATGGCCTTATAAATTGTCAAAGTTCAGAAGCCCCTATATAACACATTATTGAAATAATTAGATTACATTCATTTTTTGTAACCAAATCAATATAGCTTTCGAAGGTCCAGTGATACAGAATGTGGGGCTTTGGAAATTATTTCAAATATTCAGTTAGAATTAGATGAGTGTAAAATATGTGGACTTCCGTCATTAAAACTCTGTAAAGCTTTTGAAACTGTTAATCATGAAATTTTGTTGAACACATTATTTGATATTGCATTGCATTTTTATGGTTTCAAAATTATTCAAGAGGTAGGACGCAATGTGTGTCTTCGGAAAATAAGAAAAGTTCATTAAAAAACATTATGGAGTACTGCAGGGATTTTTATTCTTTTTCATTTATATAAATTGTATTTTGGAATTGCAGCTTTCTGGAAATTAGTACTATTTGCTGATGATACAACTTTGAATTATTACAATGCAAGTTGACAATATAACAATAAATGGAAGCTGATTCGAAACAAATACACACAAATTGACTTTGAATTTCAGAAAATCTTTTTTAATGCTTATTGATGAAGAGCCGTGTAAGACACGGCTTTTTATCAATACACATCAAAATTGAAAGGCCCACTAGTGTTCAGCTTTTAAGTTAACATATAGATGAAACTTTTTTGTGGAATATTCAGATTAAAGTAGTTCAAAAAGATTTACATTGTGAATATATATAAAATAATTAACCATATTTCTTTGAAGCACTTGAAGCTAATTTACTTCTCTCATTAATTCAATATAAACAGTATCTACTTAGTAAATGGGAAACTGCTTCAAATATCACTTTGAAAACGTTAAGGAGTTTACAAAATGAAGCCTATCTACCTTTCTTAGAACCAACTGAAAATCAATATAAACCAAAGTGTTTACTCAACATAAATTCTATTTATAAATTAAAAGTATGCACCTTTCCTTTATAAAACAAACATTTCAATATAAAATTTATAGAACATACATGATCATCAAACAAGACAGTTCAATAATTTGTTAATAAAGAAGTTTGAATCTGTATTTTCCAGAAAATCTACATATTATAAGGGAATAATTGCCTTTATTGAATTATCAAATGTCTGTTATATTAATTTACATAATCATATGGGTTTGTTATCAATTAGACAAATTCTGAAATAAATCCTTTTCAAGTTATATATTCATATATATGAATATTTTTTTGTATAAATTCTCTGTATAATCCATTGAAGTTTTTCGGGAATAAATAAATGTTTATTTATTTAATATTTGGTATGAGATTGTAAATGTCAATGAGTTACTTTTACTTCATCCAAATTCTAAGATGGAATATTTGAATAACATTTCAATTTTTTCAATTGCCTACTATGGTTTTTATTTTCAACAATTGATAAGTTAATAATAAAAAAGATAGAGTTTACGTGAATGAAATCATTTAAATTCAAGGACAAAATACAGATAAGCCATCATTATCTTAATTATATATTTACTTGTTTGCTTGTATTTCTTATCTATGGAAAATTATTTTATATTTTATTTTGATAACGACTGACAAAATGTTACAAATTTCATTTGTAATTTTTATATGTGGAGAAATCCAACCCTACTGAATTCATATTTCCAATATGTTGATATTAGTAACACTTTTATTTTGGTATTGTCAATAATGAAGCTTCCAATTAAATGTTTTATCAGATATTTACAAATTTTATTCTCAACCATTTGCATTGCACATTTACATATGTACATACATCTGTTCATCTGACAATTTCTTAACCAATTTTATTTGTTTGAGGGACAGAAAAATGTATTACTTACACATGCTCACAACTCAACTTGTAAGTATTCTCTATAACACCCTCTTCAGTTTCACCAACCAGCAGTTTATTTCCACAAACGGCGCAAACTGAAGGGTCTAAACTTCTAGTGCTGATACCTTGCGGAGAATAATACTAAAAAATAAACATCAGAATAGTAACTATATAGTTTGATAGTTTTATTCACCCCAATGTGAGCTGCCATTTTATCTGCACATATCTCAGAGATATCTCTACCAAGTACTCCATAATACAGGCCATAAAATGTGAACAGCAATCCACAATCCATCCAATGGTTGGCTTTAGCATTAAAGACTATATTCAACCCAAAAAAAGTGGCCATCATAATAAAGTAACCTATGAGACCAAGAACATAACTTAATTTATAAAGTAACAGGAACCATTTGTAGACTAATCTGAAATTAATCAAAAAATTATTAAAAATAAACTCTTATGAATAACTGGTTCAAACAATTACGGTTTACGAGTTTCTTCTCCCCTGCAATCAACAAACTTTAAAAAATGAAATATGTAGTTACCCATAAAAAACGCCCAAAAGGTTGGTGGAGGTATGTGGTATATTGATTCATTCGCAAGATAAAATTCACTTAAGAAGTAGAGGAAAACAATCAATTCAAACAATTAATGATGTAGTGATACCAAAATGTTCAGATCATTTTTGGAACAAGTATTAATGGAAAGGAAACACATACTAATAGGTAATATCTAAATTTCCATTCAAAAATCAAATTAGCGGTAACATAAGTATCATTAAAACACTTTGTGATAGATCCAAGCCGATATTATCCACAGAAGAAAAATTTGAAAACAAAATTACTTTCCCAAAAAAAAAAAGTTGGAAATAATAATCATCTCGAGGATTTTCTAAGTAAGATCATTCAACCTAACAGTAATATCTCAACTAACACCAAACATTAAAAAAAGCAGCCCCTTTAAATGTGATATTCTTTCTTGATCTTTATGAAAAGGTGAAACGAATTGGTTCTAAATTCAATGTCCGAATAGTATTCATAACTTAAAGTAATCTGAAATCTTCTTTAACTCTGACAATACTGGCAAATGATGAACAAAAATGAAAAAAAAATGTTAACAGTGCTCCTTGTTTACATAGTGACACATAACTATTCAGACTTCAAAACCTTTCAGAACAAGAGAATCTGAACACTGAGATATAGGAAAATCTAAATTGGCAGGGACAGGAGACGTGCACACATGATGAATTGCAATTAAACCAAATTTGTTAACAATACTGAAAATACTGAAATGATATTTTTACAATTGTCTGTAATTTCTGGAATCGAGAAAGGGAACAGAGGTAGTTTCCAAATTCCAAGGAGGAATACTTTCATTTTAAATTTATATATTTTTGTTTCCTTAAAAAATATAAGTAAAATTTATAGGATTGTTACTGACAAGTTGGATAAATCTCTGTCTAAATTATGACTGAAATGCAGTAACTTTTCAAATTTGGAAATAATGTTTATCATATTTAATTTTTTTGTTTCTTGATTTTGAGGGAGCAAAAATTGATGATTATAGGAATAGCAATTGGAAAATATTGATTTTTATAAAATTTTCAATTATCGTGACTTTGCATTTCCAAATCAGTTTTATTGATTTTCCATTTTTTCAAACATATAATATTAAGTATTTACAAATATTTTGTGCTATAGAAAAAAGTTTATATTACCTTGGAGTACTTCTTTCTATAGGTTTTTGTACAGCCTTTCTCACAATTAGGCCTGTTATACAAGAAAACATCAACCAAATGAATATAAATCGCCACCAATGACTTCGAAGGCACAATACGATAGGTACTAGCCACATTCCTAGTAAAGTTACTACCTGAAATGACGAATAATACATTATGAAGAATACTGGGATGGATGATTTAGGTAAATGTTACACAATTTGACAATATTTAATAAGTTTAATTTGGAACCTATGGGGTGAAATGAATCATTGTCCCTTGTCCCTCACCAGACCAAAAATGCTGTCTCTCGACAGCGACTTGGTTCACAAAATGTGCATTGAAAAACATGGAAAAAGTAGCGAATATGGTAACCTCGAGGATTTTCATGAAATTTTGACATATTCTTTTTCTATTGAGTGAAAAGTGTTTTCAATAGAGTATTTGAAATTGATCAATGATGGTGTTCCTAGCTCGAGTTCATCAATTTGTACTTACTGAATAACTTTTGTAATGCCTTTTCTTCCATTCAATTAAACAAAACTGGGCTACAATCAGAGTAACAATTAGCACTATAACCATCTCAGCATGCATTTTTTCATGACCTTTATGTTGTTCATGTAATTTCTGATGTTCTAACCTGCAATACACAATGAGTCAAAGACGAACCTTATAGAAAGAATCATTCTACCTCCATTTTTCCTCGGATGTGAGCTCATCCATACTCTACAATTAAAATAATCAATTTCATAATGAAAACTTATGAGTGAAAAAGTTTTAATTACTACTAAACGAATAAATTACCCGATTTCCCAAATTTACAGGTTGATGTAAATCCATTGTTTTAAAGATAAACACTATTTAATTCACAATTTTTTACTGAAAACTAAAATGACTAGAAACAAATAAATGTGTTAACCTATCATAATTCTTTTGACAGATCGCTGGATCACTACAAACTATGTAAAAACTAACCTCAATTTTTGAATGTTTGACAGCTCTACAGCCTACAGCAGTGTTGCCGAAATTAAATTATATTTTTCCTAATTGCTACCAGTGTCTAGAGACAACTACCTTAGGTTGGTAGAGTATTTGGACATTTCTGATTATGTCAAAAGTCGTAGTTAGTAGTATATTATGCAACGATCATGTAATGATGGTTATTAAGACACGAGCATTAACCGGGATACGAAACGAGCCGAAGGCGAGTTTTGTATGGTATATGCGAGTGTATTAATAACACTATTTTTTCTAAACCCGATAAATAATGAAAAACTATAAATATTATATTTGTATTGAACACATTTAAAGTAATTAACTCATATTTAAAAAAAAAACAAAAACTTAATGGTATTATCATGGATATATGAAAACTATAAAGAATCTAATTATATTTATATTGAATATAACAACTGTAATTAATCTGATCTTTTAAAAATATTGGAGTCGATGGTATTCCTTCTATATCGCTGTTTTCAGACATTTTGATAATATAGGTAGGTAATATGAAAACTGTTTTTGACTAATAAAGCAATTAGTTACTTAGGTTAGAATCTAGGACATAGGAACAGGATTCTTGATTGAAAAATTATGGGTTTCTATTGGTTGATAATCTGTATCGTTATGAAAAATCTGTATCATAATGGATATCATTATGAAACGGATTATGGTCATATAAGTGTATTGTTAGAGTACGGGTGTAGAAAAAGGTATTATTTCTACAAACTTGTTAAAAACCATGGTTATAGAAGTATTTTGAATATTTATTTAAAACAACGGTCAGCAGTCGCTATTACATGCAGTGAACAAACAAATGGTCATTGGAAAGCCAAAAGCACATAATAAAAGTATTCTGTAACACAGGCTTTTGTTTTTCTTAAGAAAAATCATTGCAAATTGTTAAAAATCAAACAATAGTGTAGTTGATTTTTTAGTGTTAAGGATGTTACAGTGACCTGTTGAAATAAAAACGGATTGATAGATGATTTTCTCATGTTTCGTGATTTTTAGTAATATTTTAAGTTTTTAAATTGAATCATCAATTTGATTAGCGGATTTCAAATTTCAATGTTCAACTTATCAAACCTATCCTGGCGCCACCTAAGTTGTGCACATTTGAGTTCACAGAAATCATAGAGAATCTGTGTTTAGTCTTCATGCCGGTCGTTCAGTTAAAAAAATATAAAAACGTGCCCCAGATCTGAAACCCAGAGTTTTACTTTTGTGTTTTCAACTCAGTAATCAACCGTTGTTTCATCTCTAAATTTTGAAATGTTAATGAATAATGGATTTTCTTATATTTTCAAACTTTAGTTTCAATGAAGTTATATTTTGGAGAAACTGATATACTCTGAATGTGTGATGAATTTAGTACAAATTTGAGTTAAAAGGGGGTGCAAAAGTGGAAAACAACAATGACGTTTTTTGAAATATTCTCAAGTGCCAAAGAGACCTTTGTCCTTTGCTTCATCACCTTCTGCGGCTGTGGTAGACATCAGTACCTATACCACACTCGCAGACGAGAGTATTTTTCCTACAAAACGTTAATATATCTCTTGAAATGATAGACGGATTGATAAATAAGTTCTGCATTTAATAAACGATTATATTACGGAATAAAACAAAATATATTTACATATAAAAACAATATACACAATAAATTTATATACATACATAAAATATTAGTTACAATATTTTACGAATATGGTCATCAATATTTTCAATGCATTACTAGTGCTGGTTGTTCGACGACAACCACACAACAATTGCACATAATATAATAATTTAAGAATAATTAAGACATATAAGATACAAAGTATTGCTTTGTTAGTCACATTAGAAAAAATATCACTTATCCACATTTCGGCTTCATTCGCCCTTACCTAATCACATCTGAGAGAGTCCACCTCTTACATTCCGGAAAAACAATATTGAAAGGTATTACTGAAGTATACATACAAAAATTCATAAAAAAAGTTCATTTATCATTACAACAGCTGTACCTAAGAATTCATATATATATATACTTACATCATCTATGGCAAAATAATATATATAATTTGGTGATTGTTGACCATTTTAAGAAAGTTTTCTATTACGCGATTTTATAAAAGTCACAGTAGTACGCTATTCTAATGATACATGGCCCATTTGGATAATGACGGCCCAGAAAAATCTAATATTGATAGTTGTGGAGACAAGCACCAAGGATAGAATTGTAAAACTTAATAAAACCATAAATAAATATTTACATCTATGGACTATGCTCAAATTATGTATCTACATTCATTGTGAATGAATAATATATATCAGTCGAATGCTACATATTCAATGACGTTCTGAGAAAAACGTTCATAAGAAGTTGCAGCACAATAAAATTAATCATTCAATACTCGTCATAGCAATTCACTAGTAGTTTCCATATAAAAAGCTTCTGATATATGTACAGTTCTTTAGTATTGCCTTAGCTATAATAAATTATGTTCAGTGTCTTCATTTATTATGTTTCAACAGCAATCCTTAGAGTAACTCGGCTACCCTGTAGGAAAAACTCATCTATTCGTTATCAAATAGGCCTTTTGATTGCTTTTACACAACACAGTTACATATTTATTGGACAGTTTCACGGCTTCATTCGCGAGTACCAAAATATTGCCATGAATTTATTAAAAATAGTAATTTGTCTTTGTAAATAGGTTTGAAAACACGACTAGGGTTTGATTTGATGTTGAGTATGGCACATAAAAATATTTCTGCTGTTTTTAATGAATATCACCATTTTTAATAAATAATCACGACTCGTGTCTGTGTATTCTGCCACGACGAACACCACTCTTTCTGCGCTTGCGCTTAGTGTCTCTCTGGAAGGCTACATTTCCGGGATCATCAGCCAACTGCGGATATTTATGTATACTGTGTATATCGACCCCTTCGTACCCGTCGATGTCACCGTGAGATATCAGTTCTTCTTTCTCTTCCTCTGTCCAGTCGCCCCTTCCTTGGAAACCTGCAGCGACCAGCTGCTTTTCAATTTCCCATGCCCGTTCGACCGCTCTTTTGTGCGCGTGTCTCAAAATTTTGTGCGTCTCCAAATCGGGATCGGCCCCGTATTTGATGATGACTACTGCGTCAGGATTGTGCAACCGCAATTCTTTGATGGGTATAGAAGACCCGTGATCGGTGATTTCATGTGTCGAAACGTTGAACATTCCTCCTAATCTACGAAGCTCTTCCAAGTCGTCGCGAATTTTAAGTACATTGTCTTTAACGAAATAGAAAACGTCCTGATCGTGGATACTGAACTGCAGATTCAAGAAGAAAGAGTTATTGAACACAGACGTGACTACATCTTGCACTACACCGTTCACTCCTTCTACTACGCTAACTAGAGCTCTACTTCCTGCTCTGGATATGAGGACCCCTTCTCCGAAGACGGACCTCCTGTAGGCCACCCTTGGCAGAAGGTTTCTTGTTTTTGGCTCCATTTTTAGAAGAGGCTTTGGTACAAAGCTGAGATCCATGAATTTTTCATTTATCTGAAATGAAAGTTGAAATGAAGTTCGAGAGTTGAGTGCATCTTTAACGAAGATTTGTAAACATTGATATTATTAAAACCAATATCATAATACTGGTATTTGTTGAATTACGTAAATTCCTTCTGAGAGGTAACAATTTGGTGACATAAAAATTCACTAGAATATTAGAAAGTTAATTTGTTTTGGAAATGGAAAATACAATAAAAACGGGATGCCAAGGATCTTGCTTCAGCCAATAAGGAAAACACAAAAGAAAGAAAGCAATTTTATATTTTTTTGAAGTGAAGTAAAAATTCATAGGAAGCTGTCTTTCCATTGAGCAAAATATATTTTAATTTGCACAGAATATATATTTATTTGTTTAAAGCTAGAATTAGTATAGAAAGCTTCTAGATCTGATAGAAATATGAGATCATTGATAAATTTTAGAAAGCGTTTATCATTAAGAGATAATTTATTTAGGTATTAGTAATAAGTACCATTACTTTTTTTCATTCTTTTTTATATGTATATTTGTCTATATCAGGATTAATTTATATTTGAAATACAGAATGATTTATTGATCAAACCGGCACCACTGGATTAGTGAGAATTTTAAAAAACATTTGTAATTTGAAAGTTTATGAACATGGAAAATGTTAGTTATATGGTGCTACAAAATAATGTAATTCCACATTTTTATTTAATAATGTACTTGATTTTAATCCTCCAACATTTACCCAGAAATTTCAGAAACGAAGACCTACATTATTATAGACATTATTATAGCAAAGCTAACGTTTTGATAATAAATATGTGAAATTATATCAAGCATATGTCCTTGCTATCTCAAATTCAAGGCTTTTTTGCATATATCAAGTGAACTATTTTCACCCCTAGCAAATGACTGCCGTGAATATTCAATATTGTTCTCAATGCGACAGTAGCAAACTTTTTTATGTGAAAGTGATAAATTCACTCGTTTTCACTCGTTTGCTATGATTTGGAGCCTGATTGTCTTAAAAACAACCAATATCGCCATATGTCGAAGAAAATTTTGAAATTATAGCTTGTCATTCCAGTACAAGGAGTCAAGAATACATTTTCTGATATCTACATAAAGGGCCCTGATTTCACGCTAACAAGTATACGCATATTCTTATGTACATGTTACTTTATTCATTGCTAAAATAATAGCTTTTCTGAAATGACTTAACAAATTTTTGTTGATATACTGATGTTACTTGAAATACATCTTTACTAACCTTATCAGCGATACACTGCAATCCAGACATAATTCCGAAATCAGGTGCTAGTTGAGGAGCTGTAACAAGAGCCTTGGGTCTGTATATCATTTTCCCGATATATTGAGATCCCAGCATCTTTTCCATATCATATCCGTACATTTTCAGCCAGCTGTTGAGGTTCGTCATGTAGTTTATAGATAGCTTTGAGTTGATGGGATCGTTATTGTGAAATCTGTATATAAAGACATCCGTTGGTGTGGTTAATTTTGTTGCAAGATTTTCCCAAGCGGGAGTCATCCATTGTCCGACAATTGGATCGTAAAGTCTCTTATTCAGGTAAACAAGTTTGGTATTGGGATCTAAAATGCCACCGTGGAAGTCAACAGGAAGATAGAAGTCCGGATTCGTGTCTAGCTGAATATTACCGAAAGGAGTTCTTCGTATTTCTTTGATGAGATTACCGTTAATGTCAAATAATGCTAATGGCGAACCGTTCTGATCCGACGCAACATAGAACCTCTGCTCCGATGTTTCTACTGTTATTATGATGTCTCTCGAGTCATACAGGAATCTAAACGTTCTTCCAGATTTAGGGAAGTGAACGTGAGTTATTAGATTTGGAGTTGAAGGATTGGAGTAGAAGTACTGGGTGATGTTACCTTTATCATCGTTCCACGAAATGAGTCTCTGTTTATCATCGTAAAAGTACCAAGTTTGGAATTTATCTCTCTCAAAAGCATGAATGAGCTGACCTCTCGAATTATATCTGTATTTTTGTTCTCCTCTCCTTACTACATATCCTCTAGAATCATAACTGTTGAATTCAACGTCTCCATATTGGACGACCCGATCTCCGCTGTCATAACCTAGAGATATTTTGTCTTTTTCTTTGATTACTCCGATTATGTTGCCATTTTCGTCATAAACATATTTCCAGTTACTGGTTCCCACAACTTCCAATACATGACCATCTGAATTGTAGGCTATTCTATCCATGAATTGTGTCCTACCAACGAGTAGCTTTTGCATTTTGATTCTGTTTCTCGAATCATACTCAACTTCCAGTCTGAACACGTCGAATGATTTGATGTTGATTAGTATTGTTTTGATTCTGCCGTGATCATCAAAATCTGTTATTGTGAAAAATTGTTTCGTAGTGTCTTGCATGACTGACCTGTTGAACGTGTTTCTGTAAATTCTCAAGTCGCTTATACCTTCCAGTATACCGAGGTTTTGATTATATTTCAACCGGAGTTGTGGCAGTTCTTTGCCATTTATATCGACGTCAATGGTTGATAATCGCGCATTTCCATCATACTGGTATTTATAATGAGCGTTATCTAGTCCACTTTTACTATTGAACTTGAGTTTTTCATCTTTTAAAATTCCCGCGTGGTACTTGAATTCCTGCCTTACTTCAAAGTTCGGTTCTACGATTTCGATATTCTTGACGAGATCTAATATTTCGTGATATACGTAATGTGTTGAACTCATTCCTGCAAGAGTGGTTTCCAATTTTCCTGCATCATCATATACATAAGACACTCTCCCAGACTGATGAGGATATATTTTGGCCAGAATTTGCCCGTCATCATTATACATTATTTCATATGGATGGCGGTTCATTGGAGAAAAGTACTGATATTTAAAGAACCCAAGAGAAGTTTGCAGAGAGAATGTATGAATGTGCCCCCTAGGAGTGGTGAGAGACTGTAGAGCACCAGAATCGTCATACTGAAGTAGATAGTCAGATCCTCTTGGAGTGCTAACTTTCAGGGGCTGGAAACAAAAAAAATAATCATTTATTTATTTCACAACTGGTAAAGTAAATCACGATTAGTGAAAATATCAAGTAGATTTATAGGAATTGAAAGATATAATTGGCATAGAAAGAATCGAAACACTGCTCACAAACATCAGAATTGCAACACTCTTCTGGGTGATCGTTTCACCAACCAAGTTTGTGTCTTCAGGAGATGAAGTAAACTCACGCCGACTTGGTTAGGGCGACAATTCTTGTGTTTGGGAGTAAAAAAAAGTATTGTGACATTCCATTCAGTGACTCCTAGTGCATTGGTGACATTTTGTTCGATGAATAAGGAAGGAAACAGTCACAAAATGCAAACAACGCCTGGAAATCTACAAATTTGCAACTTTTGTAGCTTCCCGTGTAAAAAAAAATGGAATTCACCAATCCCTATCATTATAAATAATGTACCAGGTAGCATACTGTGGGACTTTCCATCGATACTCAGTGTTAAGTGAATTATTTTTTATAAAAGTACTCACCAAACTACTGAACATATCCTTGAATGCGTAAACTAGAGATGATCCGTCGCCATACTTAATTTCGTTGAGTCGACCAGCCCTATCAAAACCATAGCTCTCACTCAAGTCTCCCCACTTCCACCTACTCAAGCGGCTGAATCTATCGTATTCTAACTCGACCTCCGTGAATATTCCGTTTCGTGGCCCCCATTTGACGGGTCTCGCCGACCGATCGTATGTCACATTAAGTAATTCTACTTTGTCATCCATAAACACTGACACCGAAGCTGTGTCTCTATCATACTCCATGGTGAGAAGATTTTCTCCATTCACCCGTAGTTTCTTTCCAACTTTGATGATGGTTCTCGGTACCAGGTTCTTTCCTTTGGAGTTTGGATTTGGCCTTACAAAATATCTCCATTCAAACCTATTGGCAAGGTCTCCACCTATTTCGGTTCTTTGTTTGGCTGGGACAGGATAACTTTCACCTAAGATAGGTTCTTTATCAGCTAGTACATTGTACGGTACAGTGTCTGTTGTGATACTATGGGTCCATGACGATATGCTAGTAGTGCTGCCATCTGCGAGTAGAATGATTCTGTTTTCGACATCTTCCAGTCTAGTGTATACACTGGACCCCTTGATGAGCATCGACACTGGCTTCTTATTGTTCTCACTAACTCTAACCGTGGCTCCTTTCACGCTCAGGTCAAAAGACAGGCTTATAATTTTTCCAGTCGGTGTAACCGCTGAGACTAGTCTACCGAACTCGTCGTAGTTGTAAACGTAACTTCGACCACTGCTATCCAGCTTGGTTTTGAGTAAACCAGTCGGGGTGTGATAGTCAAATGTAACATTGTAATTATCCGGCGTGCTCAGTTCGTACAACATTCTCATTCTGGACATTCGTAGTCTACACTTTTGCCCCTTCGTATTCTCTATTGAATTCACCTGACTAGAATAGTCCCTGAGTAGGAATACTTTGTTACCGGCAGCATCCGTAACGGTACTTAGTTTACCGTTGCTGGTGTTGACGTTGTATGTGAACACATAACTTGATTCACCTGTCAAGATATTTTTAGTAGCGATATGCTGCCCGAATCGATTGAATATATAAATCTCTTGACTTTCTGGGGAGTATATTTCATACTCCCTAGAAACACTGGCATCAGGAATGCTAGCCATGACTGATCTAATTCTATAATTCGCCTGATCTCCGATATGTACATGGCCGTCTGGACTGACTGTGACAGCAGATATTGTGTTGAATTTAGTATTAGAAGCCAGGAAATGGTCTGCTTCAAAACAGTCACAACCTCTCTCCAGACAGTTACATTTCGATTCAGCTCCAGCATATGGCGATATTTTTCCGTCGGTTCCGATCACTCTCACTCTGTTTATCCTCTGTGAATCACTCTCCGCCACAAACAATTCACCGGAAGAACTGAATGCAATGCTCTGTGGCATCACCAGAGTAGCATGCGTTGCAAGATCAATATCGTATCCACTAACTGGCGACGCGCAGTGTAGTGGCCGCCCTGCGATTACTTTAACCCTGCCATCTAGAGTCAACTGGAGAATCATATGGTCATCTATGATGTGCAACGTGTTGTCCAGTGGATTGATGGACAATTCGGTTGGCCAACGTAAGTGAACCTCTTCGATGTTCAACGTACCTTCACAAGGTAATGGTTTCCAATGTGATTTGTGCATGTGGTTTCCTATAACAGTCGTAACAATACCGTCTCTATCAACCATTCTGATGTTGGTGCCGTCAGCGAAAAATAGAACGTTGTCGTTCGATACTGCCACACCTTTTGGATATGCCAGTTTAGCATCTCTAGCTAAGGCACCATCTCCGCAATGTGCTTCATCTCCAGGAAGGCATCTTTCCCCGGATCCGACAACAGTTTCCCAGTTGTGGTCAGGATCACTGTAATCATCTGTGTTTCGAACTTTGATAATTTGGTGGGACTCCGGGTCAGATATATACAGGGTACCGTCCAAAGGACTCAGAGACATGTGGTATCGGTAGGATACTCTCGTAGCACTGAAAGGAAAACTTCATTGAATATTTGAAATTAGAATAAATGATTATTTTTCCTACGAGTGTGTGGAGAAGTGTTCTTTTTTGATGATTTATGTTTTGGAAAGGTCTTTGCACCGGGACATACATTTTTTTTCCTGTAATGATAATATACATGAAAGAAAGCATGTTTTTAGACATTTCAACGCATTATGTAACACTTTGTGAGACTTTCACTAACAGTTTACAAACCGAAACATGTGTTGGGGTTCTGTAAACTGTCCAGTGAAACTTTCACAATAGAGTGTAACTTGATAAGTTATGGATTTTCTCCAAGTATCAGCTAATTCCATCACATATCAGGAAAATTACATCAATTGCAAGTAAACTATTCATACAGTGACAACTGGATATCGACGTTAAAATAGGTTACTTTAGTTGTCAATTAACATCTATTAATGATGCTTCAATAATATTCCGAAGTGCTAATGGAAAATAGCAACTGAAATGTGGTCAAAAAAACTATATGGGCATGTTCCTGCACATTTTATTTTTACTGTCCAAATCATATTGGTGCACTTCCTATAATATTTACTTTTTCAATATAAGTAGCTAATGATAGGTTCATACATTCAACATGCCTGGTTTATCTATCTATCTGTACCTAAAATTTGAACTTCAGTATTGTGGTCGAAATATTCAATTCAAGAAATTGTAGGAAGATATTAATATTGTTCATCATCGGTTTGAAAATGTTAGGTTCATTATATTTTCACACTCGTAGGAAAAATGCTGTACCAGAAGTCGCGAAAATTGTCTTTTCCACACTTAACGTCTTCATGTCGTTCAGTCAATGTAGTCTACAATTCACGTAATTTCGGTTCGCCTACATTTGAATTTATAATCAAGGTGTTATTCGATTTGTAATTTCACAAGGAGTAAGTTAAGAAGTTATAAATAATTTAGTTGAACAATAAAAGGGGGATTTATTTTTTTGGGAATATCTCTAAAACTATTGTAGATATTCAATATTTGAAAAATGATCCTTGAAGAGAAGAAAATGTCTTAAAATAATTTTCACCCCAAGAAACTTTATCAGCAAGATTTATAGTTTTGGTTGAGCGATAAAAATACGGGTAAACAGGGATGATTGAGTCGTACATCTAATGCTGATTCGGTCGATTCAACAAAAAAAATTTCAAATCATCATAGTTAAATATTAAGGAATAAATGAAATTGGTACTTGGTGGGTAGCTGGATAAACAATAATCCTAAGGTTAGAAAAGATTCTCGTTGGAAAAATTGATAAAAATCAATTTTCTATTTATTTATGAACAATCAAAGAATATGTTAAAAGTTGAGAATATGAATGAAGAATTGAAAACATTTTTTTTAAACTCAATAATAATTTTCATTTCTATTGTGATAAACAAATGCATTGATTATTATTGCAAATAATGAATTAGAAAACAATTTATTTGAAAAATATTGCATAAAAAAGTGTTTATTGACTTTTTTGCCCATAAATATTAATATTGAGAATTTTTTTAATTATAATTTTTTTGACTACTGTTTTGTAACCTGAAAAAATATAATATTTTGCTATTTTGAATTCATTTTATATATATCATTTTATAACAGACACTTTTTTTCTATTTTTAATTTTATTTCTTTTTTTCCAAATTAATACCTACATGATTCTTTTCATTCAATTTTTTAATATTTGAAAAGTAAAGTGTGAGAAATACAACACTAAAAAAAATAATATATTTTTTTGAATAAGAAAGAGTAGTGCAAACAATGGTTTTTAAAAACAAATGGTTACTTAATATTTGATATTTTCTGGCACAAATAAATAGTTAGTTATAATTTTTTTTTCAAAAACGATATTTTTTTAAATCATTTTTCAATTATTTATCAGATTGATTTCCCAAAAAAGTTCATAAACAATGTATTGTTTATGAATTTATGATGGTAACTTGATTAGTGAAATAGGCGTTGGGAGACATTTTTGTTATGATGTGGGAAGTGTTTTTAATAATACATTGTGTTAATTTTTTGAACAATAAGAACGTAAACTTGAAAAAATATTAAATTAATGTTACTTTCATGAAGAATAAAACAATGATGTATTCATGCTTTTAATTGCTCAATTAATTATTAAAGGAAAATGGAACTGCGATGAAATTAATAATCTTGGTGCTACAGTTTCGAGAGGTGAGAATTTTCTCAGCAAATTTTTTGCTCTTCAAGGATCTTTTTTCAAATTCTGAATATCAACAATAGTTCTTGGGATATTTGCAAAAATCCGAGTTTCTCTTTCCGTTTATAATTTTTAAACTATTTTTTGCTCGAATTGCAAAATACTGTTTGTGAAGTTACACATTGAAAGAAACTTCACTCATAATTTTCGACGAAGGCAAAACTGAAATTATGCGAATTAGCACTTGCGAACTAGGCTAAAGAGTCATGTCTCGTGCGGAGAAGAACTATTTTCTGCAACTGCTTGGTGAATAACTATATTCTTACTTTAATCTGACGATGGTTCTCACAACTCCATCAGTCTGAATTTTTCTGACTAAATTGAAGTCGCCAACGAACAGAGATCCATCTGGTGAACTCGCCAAAGCTACAGGTGCTAGAAGGCGTTGTTTGGATGCCTGTCCTTCGCAGTCCATACAATCTAGAGGTCTCTGGTGACCGTCGCCCATAGCTGTCAATATCACCCGAGGTTTATGTTTGAGGTAAATATTCGATCCGTCACCTTTTTGTAGGATTCCTGAAACAGTAAGACATATAAACTTCGGAAAAATATTTGATGTACACGATATCTACCTTCATGAAAATTGTATCTATGGTGAATATCCAAATTCCATCCACCAACTTCCGATATGCTCATATCATGGCCGCTTAGTTTGGTAGTTTGAACGTCCCATATGATGTCCTTGCAGTCGCTGTACTCGTATCCAACTTTGACTATGGCGTTCGTTACTCCATAAACCCGCTGTCGGTAAACGTTTAATCTATTCCAGGCGTAGGTGAATTTGATGACTGGATCGGCCTCGAAAACTTTTTCGAAAAGTATACCTTCTATGGTGATTCTTAAATGGATCAGTTTCAGATCTGACGGAATTTCATCCGGCGTCAGTTGGAGTTGAATAGTGGACAGGTATCCGGCAGCGCGCGAACTGTGGTAAACCAAGTTCAGTCCAGTTCCGGGAATGCGAAGGCTTTCTTGCACTACTTGAGATTCTGCCAAAATTGCGCTTTTGTCGGGACATGCACCTTGGAAGCCATGTTTCCACGTGGCGAGGACAACTGGCTTCATGGTATCGTAGTCGTGGGAGCTGCATGGCTGAGGTATGATGTTGACAGTTCTTTCCTCTCCAGTTGTCATTATGACATTATCAATTATAACCACCTCATTCCAAGGAACGAAAACTATACGACTTTGCGCACTAAAGGGTGACCTTCCGAACTGGAGCGTAACAGCTCCACCACCGTTAACGAGGAGATCAAACCAACCGTCATCTCGTGTGAGAGTGAAACCTTCTAGAGGAGTACTGGTACTGACTCTAGCTCCCATTAGACCAATTCCCATGGGCGTTGTTACTCGGCCTCGAACGACAGCGGAACGGCTGTTGAAAAATTGCGGGTTAAACAATTAGTTGACAATTTCTACTTCTACAAATAAACATAGAACTGAAGCAAACTAAGAGAACACGAACACAAGTGGATGTGACACACACAAGAAACAAGCACAAATAATATACCAAAAATATCATCGAGTGATTTTTAAACTATATATGTTACTACCTCTACCTAATTGGTGATTTCAATGGCATCCAGCCTTACCTCGTATTGAAGTGGTTCCAAAATACACTGAGCAGCAAGAACGAAGAAAGTGAAATTGATGAATTAATATTAAAATAAGTTGAAGTTGAGGAGCTGCTTGTTTGAAATCATTGAGAGCTCTACGGACGCCTGTCATCATGTTTAATTAACGAGCAGATTTACTAGTGATTTGAAACTCAACAAGCAAGTAAGAGAGTTCAGTGAAAGAATTACATATATGGGAGTGTGTTAACATGGGGCACAACAATGCGGCTAGTAAAAGTCTTAACAAATAACATAAAAACATGTAATTTTATCAAACATTGAGAATAAATGGAAAATTTGATGACTTATTAACAGGAAACTCACCTTTCATTGAAGGTTTCTTGTCGAGCATAATTCTGTAAACTTCCCTCGTCTATGAGAAATTTCATTCTTTCAAAAAAGGAAGCAGTTATAGAAGGCGGCTGTTTACGCAATAGAATGTCTATTGGTTTTGGTGCAGACACACATAATTGGCTGCTTTTGCATACGGGGTTCATGCAGCATTCTGGGTCCTCGCAATCCACAAGTCCATCTGTACAATGAAAGTAAAGTAGATCGAATATTAGAATTGATAATTAATGAGGAAAATTACCTTTATCATTGTCTCTCCCATCATTGCAATTTTGTTCTAACAAGATACTGCAATCAGGACCATCCCATCCATTATCACATCGGCATTCCCACATACTTTCCGTGCTGAATCGGCACTGGCCATGAGCTGAACAACTGTTTGGGCAACCTTCTATAGTACAGTGTTTTCCATTCCAGCCAGTTACACAGAGACAGGTTCCATTTTTACACTGACCATGCTCGTTGCATCTGGGATCACACTGTTTGAGGTTACAGTATTCCCCTGACCATCCAGGATCACACAGACACGATTCCGAAACACAGTGGCCGTGATTACCACAGTCCAAGTCACAAAGTTCTAGAAGAGAAAAAGTAAATGAATATCAAAGTTCAGTCGGTTATAATAACAAAGATGAGTATTTCCCAAAAAACTACATAATATTGGGTTCGTCTAGGTATTATTTTTATTGAAGAAGTGTCATCTGCAAACATTCTACCTTCTACTGTTTATACTAGACGTACAATTTACACATATAAGATCAACAAACTGGTTCAAGAATGGAGCCTTGAGAAATACAACATAAAGTAATCTTCAAGGTGTATAAACTCAGTAATACTGAATCTGTGGAGTAATTTGGGTTTTTCACGGTTTTCCAATAATTTGGTGTGTATTGAATTCTTAAGAATTTAAACATGCGTATTGTGTACCTACAACTGGTTTTACATAGGCATTTTTGATTTTTCAGATAGCGTGTTACGAATGTTGAATTTATTACTATCAAAGGTGTAGGTTCTAATTTCACTCCTAATAATTGTCAACCTAATTTTTTTGAATCCTGAAATTTTTCTTCATTCCAATCCGTTGATACTTTCTTCTGCCATTTCAAATTGGTTAGTTAAAAGTCATTTTATTTATGAGAATTATGTTGAAATACAGATAGTGGCAGATAAAGGGCCAACTTTGATGAAATAACTATTGAATTCTTCACAAATTTCTGCTCGATTTTGAATTCTTCTGTTTTAAGAAACGTCTATTATCTGTTCCATACGACCCTTAGTTTTGTTGTGTAGCATAGTAACATAGTAGTGTTAAACAGTGGTAAGAATGGTGCCTTACCTTTTGAACAATCATCACCGGACCATCTGGGTTCACAAGTACAGGTTTGAGATTCCAAATCAAAAGTTCCATGGCCCGAACAGTCGGGAAGACATTGTAGCGCATCTTTATCCATTTGACCACAGTCCAAACCTTTCCACCCCTTCTTGCAAATGCATGCACCTTCCACACAATAACCATGGGAGGAACATGTAGGATGTGGACAGTCAGCTGCGAAAAAATGCAAACAGTGTTAATTTTAGAGTCGAAACGGTTAATCCACAAGATTACTGAAGGCATTCGATGGAATCAGCGTTTTAGAGAAATGAGAAACTTATATTTAATGCCTAAAATAGAACATTACCTTCTTCGCAATATTTTCCTTTGTAGCCACGAATGCAGTTGCATTTTCCGTTCGCGCAATGTCCGTGACCATTACAATCTGGCACTTCGCACTCGTCATGTCTCAGTTGGCATTCCTTTCCTTTCCATCCAGGATTGCACTGACATTCTCCATTGATGTATTCCCCGCGTTGGCTACACAGCACCGGACATACACCTAACAGAAAGACATTCAGTCATGCATAGGCACAAGCGAGATGGTTAATTGCTCAGGAAGATACTTGAGGTTACCAGCCACAAATTTTTTGATCATTGTCTAAGTATACTCACTTTCGCTACAGTCGTCTCCTCCAAACCCAGGATTGCACTGACAGTGACCCATTAGACATTCCCCTTTTCCGCTACAACCATTTGGACAGTTATGAGTCATGTCATCGGCTACAGCGGCAACGAATGTTACTTCCTGAGGATCTCCATCGTCGTTGTACAAGGATAAGAACCAGTGACCTTGCTCCATGTAATGCGTGACTTCCTTCTTCACAGTTGATTGCTGGAAGACACATAAAATACAAGTCAGTATGGTTACTCTGCTAAAAAGCTACAGAAGAGTTCATTACTGAAATTAATGTTGATGCTTTTGTAAATACCGTTTTCTTCAAACGTTTTCAAACCAGTTGTATAATGCTGAATCTTTTGGAAAATAGATAGGATTCTAATAGGGACCTATATGTGCAATATATTTTTCGACATTGGACCACAATATTTTATTAAAGATCTTGCATCAACTAGTTATAACAGGATTTGATTAAATGTGCTTTCAAAATTACTTTTCAATGAGAAAAAAAGTTTGTTTAAATCGATTTAAAACCCAAACAATTCACTACTTGTCCGTATAAAGGAAAGGATATTCAAGCTAATGCAGAGTCAAAAATGTATTAAACTAATCTGGATACCTTCCCATACTGGAATCAGAGGCAATGAGAAAGCCGATGCAGTCGCTCGCAATCGGCCAATCGGCCCAACGAAGACATCAAGTCGTTCTTACTCGCCTCAGAATCGGACACACAAGACTAACACACCAACACCTTATGAAGAAAGAATATGCTGCGGAGTGTGATATTTATGGTGAAATCAACAGTGTGAAACACATTATCCTGGATTGCCCAGTTTTTGAATATGAAAGACAAGAAGCAAGACTTCCCAGTAATCTCAATTCTGCCCTAGACGTGGTGAACTTGAACTCTTTAGTAACCTTTTTGAAATCTATTCATATATTACATAAAATATAATTATACCTAATTGTTCCTCCGCTAATAACCCTTCGCGGTTGATGCGTTTATGTTTGAAATAAAAAAAAAAACAACTTTATTTGGTGTGGTACACCACAAAGACTAATTCTTAAACCTTTCCTTTTCAAATTACCACCTGAATCGGAAATTGTTACGAAATCTGAAATTTTAACCTCTGATGTCCATTGTCATAGGTTGTTTAGGTGATTTATGGCAGAGTTGAAACATTAAACATGTAAATGGTTTTCGGTGACGAAAACTAATGATGTTAATGTTGATAGCCCCTCCCCATCACATCACAGAAAGATGTATAACTGCTCTAAAGCTTGTTGAAATGCATTTTTTTCAAGGATTCATTGGATTTTCAAATGAGCAGTAACATATCTGAAGCCACCACATCAGGGATATCATCGTTAAAGATGTATGAAAAAAGTAGATACTGATTTGTTTCTAATTCTCTAAAGTTATAAAAAATTATATTAGAGGTTAGTGAACGAAAAAATATCATATGTTTGTAACTGTAAACAGTCTACTTACATGCGATGCTCGTGTTGTTCTTGCTTTGAACCCACTAAGGACTTCTAGGATGTGATACTGCGTATGAGTAGGCAATGCATTTCGTCGGGCGTAAACTCCAATACTTGCTCCTCTAGGAATATTGTAGTCGAATTGAACGTAAGCAGCTTCTGATTGATAGAATTGCATGTTCCAGTATCCATAAGGGGGGATTTCTTTGGATAATCTTTGGCCTAAAGAGATTTGGGAAAAGGTCGTTCCGTCCGGTGGGAACGATTGAGCCGGAAAAGTACGGGCACCTGGAGCATAAGAAATCATTAAAACTGATTCACGCTTTCTATAAATTTTACTACCTGATGTGGATTCATGCATTTAGACCCATATACATCATGAGTAAGCAATATTCACCTAAGAAATGATTTGAATCATATCTATTCTAGAGAGAGAAGTAAAGTAGTATTGAAGCCTAATTATTATTGAGTTATGGAAGCAAATGACATTTCTGTATAACATGAGGTGAAAAGTTGAAACTATTGTATAAATATAGCTACAATGTAACAATAAAAAAGATTACTACTTTTTCTCGAGGTGTATTAGAAGGGAAATTGATCGTTTCACATATAGAATGTTTCTTCAATAGTTTTGGCGGTTGAGATATGATTTGTCAGCAAAAAATACAAAGGTGATAAATATTTTTTAGATACATTCAAAGTTATTTTGAAAAATACTTCTTGATGATTGTCTAAGTTGAGAGGACTAGCATGTGGAGGTGGTATCTGTATCTGTAGAGTAGGGAGAGTGAGTGTAAGCCTAAACCACTTAGGCCACATGTGACTCATTGAACATCCTCCTGAGGAGTTGTCCTCCTAGGTCATCGTCCATCCTGTCCTTTCCAGGAAGGTGGAAAGGTCACTAGGAGACATCTCCTTTATATCGGCAGGTGTAGGCCAAGACTCGCCGAATACACACTCTCTTATTGACGATAACTCCGGGCACTCGCAAAGGACATGCCTGACAGTCTCATCTTCCTGTTCACACATCCTGCATAGAAGTGTGTCCACTAGCCCCATATTATGGAGGTTTTTCCTTAGCCAGTCAGAAATCCTACTGTTAGGCGTAGATTTTTCCTGGTCATCGCCAGATATTTCTTCGGCGCCAGCTTCCCAGGGTCGCCCAAGGTGATCCTGGCAAGATTACATCCTTTGATTCAATCCCATCTCTCTGAGGATTGAGCATGGGTGTAACATTTGACTAGTTCCGCAATTGTCGAAGTCATCAGGCCGTAGGTGCCACTGGGTCCTAAAATTCTTAGTCCAGCTTTGGCTTAATCTTGGTGACACTCTAGTACTAGCCCTGAGGTTATACGTTGTCTGTTCAATGCTAATAGGGCTTGTCTGCTGTCAGTGCAGATTGTTATGTTTTTGCCAGAAATTCCTTTCTTGGTTATTTCTTTTGTGGCGATTGAGATACCAGCTAGTTCTGTTTGGACCAAGCCGGTATTTCTTCCCATTCCCCACTGAATCTTTAAGCTTAGTGATCTAGAGTACACTCCACATCCTGAGCCTTGGTTTTTGAGTCGTCTGTATACATCCGTATTGCATTTGTAGCATCTGACTCTTTGTTCTGCTTAATTTGTATTTTGTGGGGCTTATTAAACACAAACTTAGGTTCAATTGCATCACTTGTTGCCTGCAGCAGAGGTTGCGCAGTAAGCGCTTCCCGCTATAGGCCCAGCCTCAATTGACCCATTCCTACTTCAAGGCTTACACCAGCCGTGCGCAATCGTACCATGGCCATTAACGCAACCTTCTTAACGTACAGATCCAGAGGGGGCAGACCCGTGATTAATTCCATTGCCGCGGTTGGTGTTGTTCTCATGGCTCCTGTGATGTTTAAATAAGCCAGTCGCTGTATTTGATATAATTTTGGATGGCCGTTGCTTGTACAACTTTCGGTCCCCATGCAATGGCTCCATACGTTAACATAGGTCTTATTATTGCAGTGTAGATCCAGGTGACCACACAGGGTGAAAGACCCCATGCGCGTTCCAATGTCCTCCGACATTGCTCATAAGCCACGTATGCTCTTTTTTCTCTACTCTGTAGATGAGAGTTCCATGTTAGCTTCCTGTTGAGGATATTACCAAGGTATTTCACCTCTTCAGTGAAGTTTAGTTTGCTTTTGAAGATTTCGGGAGGTTTTGAGCCCGTTAAACTTCTTTTCCTGGTGAAAAGGACCATCTCAAAGGTTGTTTTATCAAACGCTCCCTCGATATCTATGAATAAACCCAGGGTGGGTTCTTTGTTGTCCACTGATCTCTCGATTCATGTGGAGGTGGTGCAACACGGCCATATAAATGACTGTTTTGCAATAAAAGTTTGAATGAATTACGATAGTTAATAGAAATGACCTCATTTCCAAATTATTTTCTATAAGATATTTGGGTTTATTAACTTTCCTAACTATTAGTGGAAACTTATAAGCAGAAAATCATGAGTTATAACTACCAAAGGTGCATCTGGGTCTAATGTAAAATGTGTTGATTTCCAAGCAGTATTAGGTGAATTATGATAATGTATACAGTGAAGGTATTTTTGTTAAACATGCAAAATTTATACTGGTAGGTTAATTTACACAAAATGTAAGTCAGACATGCATGTGACTGGATGAAAATGCAGATAATTTTATATACTACTTATTTGAATACAGCAATGAATGGATTGGATCTGTGATTTGTCGATGAAAATTAGCTTAGCTGAGCAATCACTCTGTCATACCTTCTAAAATAAGAATGGTGGGTGGTGGTGGCAATTTCGTAGTTATTTCTGGACAAAGCGTCGACCAAGTTTCAGAGGTCGAAGGTACACCAGTTGAATCTGTGGTGGAAGAAAGATCAGCATACGAATCAGTAGTAACGTTAGAGGACACTGATTCTGTACTACTTGCGCTGTTCTCGGTAGTTGATATGTTCATCGGCAGTATTACTGCACTGTCATAATTGTAGTCTTCATTGCTGAATGATTCTGGAAAGGTATTATAATCTAGACAAGGACAGGAACACTCACAAGCGCCACCAGAACTATCTTTGATATTATCGAAAGCTTTGGAAGCTGGCGTTACAGGTTTATCTGACACTTTAACCGACTCTTTCGAGTGAATTTCTTTGGTATCAACATTAACACTCGGGTCCTCGTTCCCGTCAGTTGGCACAGACACCGAAAGCACATAAACAGATTGCTCAGTATAAGGATTGTTAACATCATGACCAGCGGCTATGGTTAAATTTATGAAAAATCTTTTGGATGCCATGCTGGAGTTGTGTACGGGAGGTAAATCTATTACTTTCACTCTGGGGCTAACGGGTTCAACATTGTTAGTTTCGAAATCATTTATTGCCTTGATGTTAGTAGAGGTGTTATGAAAAACAACGGGGTCATTGAAGTTGATTTTTTTCACGTCCATTTCGGAATCTAAAGGAAGAATGGATAAGTTGGCATCCGTCAACTCTTTGGAGTTTTGAGATTTGGAATCAATACTTTTGGAGTTGTAGGTTGCTTTGGTTTTTTGAGGATCTGATAAAGTATGGTTGTTCAATTTGATGATGTGGATATCGCTATCTTCCTTGATGAAAAATAAAGGCTCATCATTTTGAAATTCTGAAGATTTGTAGTCTTTATGATTTTTGTTTATTTCATCATAAATCTCGCTGTCTAATGTGAATAGCGAATAATCTGAATCACTATCATCGTCATCAGTAAATGGTACCGGTGTAAGGTCCTTATTTTCCTCAGCTGTCATTGGTTCTAGAGTCGATGAAGTGTTTGCGTTATCAAACTGTTCCACACTTTCTAATTCTTCGTAACTACTGGAATCTTTGTCGGAGTCCACGACAGACTCCATTTCGCCAGCTTCATTGGTATAAGCAGATGGTACTGTACTCTCGAACCCTTGATGAGTGGTATCTGAAAATTCTTGAGTGAATTGGGAAGATGTGTCGGTAACAAACTCCGTCGTAGTTTCATTGATCTTAGTACCTTCACTTGCAGATATATATTCTACAGCCTCATTTTCGGCAGACAGTGAACTATTAGTTGAAGATGCAACATCAAGAAGTGTAAAGTTTCTCGAAGTGAGATTGTTCAAGTCATGCAAAGGTTTAATCGTACTATCATGCAAACTATCGAGTGTGTCCGGTCCAAGAGTACTAGGGGGGCTACTGGTGTTTGTGGCGGCAGTCGATAACACAAAAGCATGCGGTGTACCTAAAATCTCTCTACGTTTTCTGGAATAGGCAAGTTTGTATTTACCTCCGGAATTCGAAGTTTTCGGTCGGGTCGATGTCGAAAGGTTCGTTTCGGACGGGGCCGTTTTTGAAGCGGGGACAATTTGCGTGTTGTCCCCCACGAGGACCTCACAGGGTTTCGTATTTTGATATGACCAGTTCAACAAACTCGATGCTGAAATTGAAAAAAACATTATATTTTGAAGCCAAGAACCAAAGTAATATAAAAAAAAACGAAATGAAAACCAAATGGCAGTCAATAAATCATGTCAAACAAGCAAAGAATAATAATAATAATAATGAAATTGCTTAAACTGAATGAATGAAATGGAATCAGATGAATAATTCTTAGTAAATACAAGCTTGTCGTATAACCAGTGTGGAAGGTGTCACTAAAGTATCACTTTATACCAAAATCTAAAAATATATTCTATAAATTTCACCTTCACACCGAATAACTTTCGTATGTATCCCTTAATACATTCAAGGTGTGGCAAAAATATTATGAGTAGAACCACTACATGTTATCTGGCAGAGCTGTGCTGTGGTCCTTCACAAGACACATGTATCAGTAAGCTCCCATTGCTCGGTTTAATTAGTGAAGTTGTGTTTTGGTTGTGCCTTATGCACAACCAGTTCCCTATTCACCTGATCTAAGTCCCTGTGACTTTTTCCTTTTTCCTCATCGTTTCGGGACTTCAGAAGAGAGTGTAATAGACGTGCTGAAGATCAGACGGTTGAATACTTACAGCGCTACTACCGATTTCTACATTACAAAGTTACAAAGATTCATCAAAGAGAGTAACGAACAAATGTATTCAAAAATAATACTTTCATCAATTGTCAATTTATTTGACGTAAACTCCAGAATGTAATTGTTTACACTAAGAGTAAAAAATAGTGAAGGGGATTGTAGACGTATTTTTCCAAATACAGGTAAAATCTCTGAACAGACAATTAAAAATAAGCTTCTTAGGTTTCTGATAAAGAAAAAAAAATCAAATAGCATTATATCGCTATCAAAAGCAAATAATCTTGTAAAGTAAAAAAATGTAGGTGAATCTGTGAATTCTATTCATTTCCTTCTCTGCTTCTTTTAAACTAATCATACACCTAAATCGGAAAACAGAACGTAAATAAATATGAAGAATATTCGATTCAGGGCTACAAAATTCAAGCCAGAATCAATTTGTTTTCAACCTACCAATAATTTAATTCATTATTTTCCATGCTATTCTTCAATAAACTTATAGTTATTTAGAGTAAATGATGGACAAATATAACTGGTGGTCGCGTCAGAAGTAGTGTAAAATAAAGTTTTTTAATGATAGGACAAAAATTTGTGTTGGTGATCATCCATACATGAATTATATGTGTATTGAATATTTTTGAATATGTTTACTCATTTCAGAAATTTGAAATTGCGTGATTTCGCTGAGAGTGAAAGAAAAAAGATTTCATCTTTGCTTCACTCATTTGTTCTCAACAACAACAAAAACTTTGGCCTATATCATTCACAACTGCCATTACTGCCAATCTTGCGGCCATAAATCATGTCTTGGATTTGGAGCAGACCCTTAACTTTTTACAGGGATTAGGCCCCTTTTAAACCGGGGCTTTATTTGTAACAATCGGCTACCTAGCAAATCTGATTTTTAATTATCATTCAACCAGGCGTACTCAATACAGAGCATGAGGGTCGATATAATCTGTTACCTGAAATACCCTGAGATGAAACAGATGAAGGTAGGTACGAGTAGTTATTTCGAGTAGTCTGTGTAAGATTCACTATTTCACATGATGTATTGTATATACGGAAATAGAAAATTAACTCGATTTAACTATATCATACTACTATCACCTAATCAAATATCATACCTTTAATATTATAAACACTTGATAATAAAAATGAAGAATGAAGTAATTGAAAAAAAAACGGAATGAAATATAAAATGAAGTAGTTTTCGAGGATTATGAAGAAAATGAGAAACAATGAACGCGCTAATCTAGGACCATTTTCATATTTTCGTGAAAATGTAATATAACGTGTTTTTTCACCTGTATTTCAAAATAGTAATGAAAAAATTTCTGTATGTCAGTTGTTTCATTCGACGGGTATTATATTCGTGACTGACGAGCGAACAGTTTTGACGGTTTCTAGTCCAAATTCTGCCTTGAATACATATCATTTTCTGAGATCAAAGATTCCTATCTCTCCTACCAAGGCATTTTTTGTTTGAGATATTTTTCAACTATAGTGAAATTTATATATGAGTTTTCGAAGTTGCTTTGTTGTGTGATTTATATGTTCCTTCCACAGAATATTTTGATCAACCATCACATCACGATATTTTATGTGAATTGTTTTTTCATATAGGTATCTTCCCAATTGTTTCGGTCAATATATCTCAAGTTAAATAAATTGTTTATGTAAAGCAAGAAAAATGATGGCCCTAGTACCGTTCCTTGTGGTGCGTCCATGATTACTAATAAAGGGTCACTCATGTTGTTGGTAATTTTGGTGATTTATGTTCTGTTATATTGGGGTATTTTTTGATGATGTCAAAGGAAAGGCCAAACATTAGAATGAAATATTATCATTTACATTATCGAATTCCTTGGCCAGATCTAAGAATACTGCTACACATTTTTTTTTTCATTCGAGAACCATTTGAAACATTATCAGTTAATTCATGAACTGCCTTTTCAGTGGATACGTTTTTTCTGAACCCAAACTGGAATTCGAAAAAAATATTGTTGTCACAATAGATCATGAATCTATTTTGAAGACATTTCTCAATTAGTTTGGCAAAACAATTGATGACTTATAAATTATTTGCCCATTTTTGTTGTTGTCTGACTTGAACGTAGGTATCGTGATAGCCTTTTAGGAAGCTAAAGGAACTATTCCTTTCGTGAAAATTGAATTCACTATATGAAAGAAGGGATTCGTTAAATATTGATGCTATTTTTTCAATAAGTCCACTGTTATTTCATCAGAACCTGCTGGCGTATTATTATTCAGTTCATAGCCTAATTTTATTATCTTAGATTTTGTTACGAGGTTAAGACAAAGTGAATTCGCTGTGTTGATACTATTGACGCGTTTTTGGGTTGAAATTTGGGGTTTTTTAAATTTTATTAGCTATGTTATTACCAACTTTCACAAAAAAATTGTGGAAATGATCACCCATTTCATTTTCTGAAGCTAATTATCAGGCTATATTCAGTGTTTTCATTATTACTTCCCCAATTTCTTAACGATTTGTATTAATCTTCGATTTTTTACCTATAAAAATCTTGTATAGTTTGTCTAAGAATGTTAGTGAGGGAAGCCTTTGTTTTAGAAAAGTTCAATACCCTGTATCTTTTGAACAATATGTTTCCGGACCTATGCTTATATGAACTTTTTTTTATAAAATTAGCTCCAGAACACGTCCCAACATTTTTTCACCGCGATTGAAAAACGTACTTTGTATCATCCAGAAATAAATGAGTTTTCTGTATTTTAAAGAAACGGTCTTTTGTCAAAAGACTATCGTTTGACATCATGAATTCTTACCTGAAATGTATGAAAGAGCCGCAGTCAGCACCACCGAAAGTGTGATGAAGGCGATGGCCGTGATTTTCCACGTGCACTTGGATGCCAGCCCCTTCCTGAAGTGAAACCGGCTGGCCTGTGGAAAGTGCGACGAGTTGGGCCTCCGCAAGTTATTTCGGACGGGTAGGACAGGTACCTGGGCCCCATATGGCATGGTGCCGCCGCCGCCGCATCTGTCGGCATTCTTCATATCCTTCGAAGGACTGCTGCAGGACGAGTTCGACTTGTAATCGATCGTAGCGTTTTTGTTCGTCGAGTGATCTGCAAAAGGCGGAATCGAGAGCGGTTATGATGATGCTTCGAACAGATGTCGAGATTAAGTTTTTTTTCAAGGTAATTATAGGTGGTATCAGATGGGTAGCGCCGGGGTTTCGAAGGTTAGGTGATTTTTCAGTGTCTACGGGCTTGATTGAAATCTTTTTTACGAAACATTGATTGGAAAACGATTATATTGTATGAAGTTTGGCATTACGTCGATTTGACGTGCATTTATCAAATTAAAACGTGGAAGTTTCCCACATTTTTTGTATAAAGATGGACAAGTAGACAGCCAAAACCTTTCTTTCCCACAAATTTACAATACCGGCGGCGTTATTCTTGACTGGGATTGCTTCAAATCCACTAAAATTAAACATTACTATGAATTTGCAATATTCAATATTGAAATTATTTTCTGAAAATACAAATTCTGATTAGAAAATAATTAAATCGATTTCACCCTCTATACTCTTGTCATTTTCTGAGAAATTTCTGCGGAATAGGTATCAAATATACAAATCATTTTCTGACTAAAAACAGATCTTGAGTTGAAAAGGGTATGAAGCTGTTTGCAGCACTTTCGAAATGGGTATTAAATATTGAAATTTTTTTCTAAACATACGTATTTTGAGTTGATAATGAAAAACGAGATAATCTCTCTTCAAAACTCCCTATTTTACTTTTGTTATTCTCCCAAAATATTAGCGGAATGTTTGTTGAATAACCAAATTATTTTTCTGAAAATTCATATTCTGGCTAGAAAATGGAAATTGAAATATTTTATAGAAAAAAAAGTGATTCACTCCTCATACCCCACTTTACTCTTGCCATTTTCCGAGAATTTTGAATAGTAATAATAATAAATATAATAAACAAAAAATCAACATAAATCATGTATCAAAACTAACAAGTGAAATGAAAGGCGAAGTTCATCGTCCATAATTCAATACATCACGGAAAAAGTTTTCTGAAAATGCAAATGCTACCTTATTTCAGTTATTTCCTGAGAAGTTTTGCAGAATATATTGGAATTATTGGATCAGTTCGTCACAAAACTTTTATCAGGTTTTGGGCGAACTGGGGGAGGTTTAATAATTGTATATTCAGCTATATTCACTGTTATGAACATTTTATGATATTCCTTAATTTTCATTAACGAATTGGAAAACTTTAGTGATTTTCACGTAAATGAATCGAAAATTTTTATATTTGATACTTGTACTTGGTACTACAAGTTCTTTTAGTCCATGGCCTATACCAGCCCGGATTTTCCAGTTAAATATCCTGCCATGTCAATATATTCCTGAATGTTTCAAAACAGAAATGAAGCAGAAAATTGTTAAGAGAAGGTTAAATTCAAAAAACAAGCACTATTCTCAATGATCAGAAGTTCAATACCACAAGCGTCGATAAAAGGATTGCGGTTCTGGGGCTTGTTCCTGGATTTATTCTATGCTAGGAATTCCAGTTTTACCTTTCATTAGATATAGGTTGTATTGTTGGAAGAGGCATAATATCAAGTTGAATGAAACAAAGGACGATAATACTCAGTGTATTGTTTGGGAATTATTCTCATGACCTTTTCCTGGCACCCAAACACTTGTCTACTGAATGGTCTAAAAAAAGAATCACATATGGAATGAGTGAGTGAAATTAACCATGATATGTTCTATCGAGGGCCATCATGTTGACCACACAGTTTAATCGTCTCAGAATAAACAAATTATCAAAAAGTTTGGTGGTCGCAGCTTTCTTACGGTCAGTCCAGGTAAACCTGCAACTAATCCTAAAATCTTGATGAATATTGGGATTGGAAAAAAAATATAGTTTGAGCTTTGTTTTTATTCAGGAGTCTTTTGTTTATTTGGATACCAACACCCTGTAGCTGATAAACTTTTCAACCTATACAAGAATTTGATTTCTCCACTTTGTTGTACATTACTTAAGTTAGCTTGTGATACTTCAATATTGTAACGGTTTCCTTTGTACAATAAAAATTATCATCATTATTATTATTCTTTTTTTTCGACTATAAAATTGAAATTTCAACTCTAATCTCGATATCTTGACTGTAATCTCGGAATTTTGAGTTCAACCTCGAAATTTCAACTTTGAACTTGTAATCAAACTCGAAATTTTTCAAAATTCCAAGATTAAACTGGATATTTCGAGTTTATTCTTCAAATTTCAACTTTGAGCTCAAAATGTTCACTGTAATCTCGACTATAATCTCGAAATTTTCACTCTTATCCCGAGAACTCGACTGTAATCCCGCAATTTTGACTTCAAACCCAAAATTTCGACTTTAAACTCAAGATTAAACTCGAAATTTTGAGAAACATTGAGATTAACCTCAAAATGCCGACTTCATTCTCTAAATTTCGACTTTAAACTAAAAAATTTCAAGTTCAATCTCTAAATTTCGACTTTAAACTCGAAACTTCAATTTCAACTTTATTCTCCAAATTTCGACTTTAAAATCGAAATTTCGACTCTGATCTCGAGATTTCGACTGTAATCTGGAAATTTCAACGTTAAACTCAAGCTGAAACTCAAAATTTCTCAAAAATTCCAGTTTCATCTCGAAATTTCAACTTTAATCTGGCAAGTTTTATACTTTCAAAAATATGTAGCCCTTCTGCGCTTCCGTGGATCTGCTGAACGGAAGCTCCAAAATATCATTTTCATCATCAATTAAAATTATTTTATTTATCACTTTAATTTTTCATTTGTTGAACGGCATCCTTGCGAAACAAAGTTTTGAAAATTTTCCTGCAGCACGTGTGAATTTCCAGAAAAAAACAATATATTATTTTCGTATGTCATCTCCATAAAAAGTTTCGAAACTTTAATAAACTATTAAGTTTCTATTTTTAATGCAACTTTCCTTAATGAATGTGTTCACATGTAAAACACAAACTTCGTGCGCTGCCACGCCTTCCTACAATCATGATTTACCTTTGACGGGAATTAATATTAAACCATCTAAAGCGTTATTACAAACATGCATACAACATATGTCAGCTTTTATTCTTATAATGAGGCGGCGATGATTGTAATTGGGGGTCGCATGTCAGGTGGCAGGCGGTCCAGGTAGGTTTTTCTGATTTTCCATTGTCTTGATAGATTTCGGACGGTGTATAATTACGCTTGAATACTTTAACGTTGATATAATTATGATACGAAATATATTAATTTATTGCAAGATGGTTGTTATTGTTTCTTGAGATGTTTTCTATTATTAAAGCTGAGTCTGTGGCGGTGTCTTTCATGAAAATACATTGTGAATTATATAATGACAGGGTTTTAAACGAACAGCTATTATGCTAAGTATTCTTTGAGTCGTGGATTTGATTTGTGCAATGACACAGATTGGACGAGGCACCGCGCGTCTCAAATTGACGATCACGTAAGGAATTCCGTTCATTTTGAGTTCTAATTCATTCAGTGAACCTTTGAAGGCTCGCCGAAAACATCCGCATAATACTTGATGAATTCTTCGAGTCTAGGAAACCAGATTTCAATTAGCGAGCAATTAAGCAATTTCTCCGTTATGAATTATTAAAACTCGCACATTTTAATAATACCAAGCAATAAAATTCGAAGGAAAAGCTAGAAACCATGTTTGAACAATAAAACAAAAATGTGATGAGGGGGAGATAACAGGAAGGAAATTGGTGGATCACACCAGTAGAAAATGAGAGGAAATGTAAATTTAAATAAATATAGTTTAAAAAAACTAAAAGAACGTCGAATTAAAAAGTTAAAAATATTTTTTTTTTAAATAAGCCTTAAACAATAACGACCGGAAAATTCTAGGATTATTGTGAAAAAAGCGACAAGCGCTTGATATACAAAAAATATGGCATAAAGCGCCCACGCTTTTTTCGCAATAATACTAGTATTTTTCGTTCGTTATTGTTTTGAGTTTATTTAAAAAAATATTTTTAACTATTTAATTAGACATTGTTTCAAAGCGTATTTTTTAGTTTGTATGCTATAAAAGCGCGTTTTTTAGTCTTTTTAAACTATATTTATTTTATCTAAACTTTGGAATCAATCAGCCGTATATTGTTTACAAAAAAAATGACCATTGATATTTTCCGATTTCGGAAGGCAGCAGGCGCGCGTGTTAATGAAAAATTAATACTATTTTCAAATGAAGAAATACATGTAACGTGGGTTCGAATTATATCAAGGAAGTTACGTCCAGCGGCATCTGCCCGCGAATAGATCAAGCAGTAATGTCGATAATTCATTCAAATACAGATCCCGAGCTTGAGAGTTACAAACAAACAAACATACATACATACATACAGGTGAAGCTAATAAAAGCGTATTAAAAAAAGTAACTGAGTTTGAATACCTTGGAGTTGCAGTGACAAATAGTGAACACGAAGAGATCGAATAGATAAAAGACTTCCAGGTAACAAGCAGTAGGATCGTTGAAAACACTGTTGAAGGCAAATATTGGTCGATCACATGAAATAATGATTAGACCGATAGTACTCTACGTATGGACCATGAATCAGAAATAAATATGGAGATCTTCTGAAGTATGTAACATATGTAAGGGGAATGGAGAAGACGAATGAATCAAGAGTTCATGAATAATACAGAATGTTAGACCACGACACTGGGACACATTCCACGAATGCCAAAGAAAAGAAATATCCTGAGAGTACGACAAGCAGTAAAAGCAGGAAAGAAAAGGGGGTGACCGAGAAAGAAATGATAAGATATTGTCCAAGGAATTGAAGTAATAAATTGCAGAGAACAAGTAGAAGACCAGTAGAAAAGGAAAATAATATAGAAACCAGAGACCTCTATATGACCTATAGCAGTGTTGTTTTTTACTCTACCAATAAAGTATACAATTAAATCAAAGTTCACGGTGACTATTACTTCATTTATTTGTTTCAGGGAAAAGCCCTTTCGAATCAACTACTTTCACATAAACACTTAATTACACAAATATCTCTTATTCAAGTGATATTTTATTG